CCTGCCTGCTGCTCCTGCTCTGCCTGCTCTTGCTGCTGCTCTTGCTGCAGCTGCGGCTGCAAATCCCACTGTGAAACCACCCGCCGTTGCTGCTGCTGCTGCTGCTGCTTCTGCCGCTGTTGCTACTGCTTCTGCCGTTGCTGCTGCTGCTTCTGCCGCCGCTGCTGCCGCTGCTGCTGGTGCTGCTGCGGCTGTGGTGGTTGCTGCAGCTGCGGCTGCAAATCCAACTGTGAATCCACCCGCCGTTGCTGCTGCTGCTTCTGCTTCTGCTGGTGCTGGTGCTGCTGTGGTGGTTGCTGCTTGCCCTGCCCTTCCGTCCTGCACCCGTGCCTCTACAGCAGTAGCAGCACGTTCAGCAGTGGCAGCAGAAGCAGGGGTAGCAGGAGCAGCAGGTGCAGCAGTAGCAGCTGCAGTAGCCGCAGGAGTAGCAGCATCAGCAGTAGCAGCAGGAGGAGTAGAAATATCAGCAGTAGCACCTGCAGTAACAGCCGGAGGAGCAGGTGCGAGGGCTGCAACAGAGGAATCAATCAGCACAAACCCTTCCGATGCATCACCAGTACCAGAACCAGCACCAGAAACTGTAGCAGTAGTAGCAGTAGCAGCAGTAGCAGCGGTAGCAGCCCCCCTCTCCTCATTCTCTGCCTCTCCCCCTTCTTCTGCCTCTTCCCACTCCTCCTCACTCTCCTCTTCGTCCTCCTCCTCACCACCTTCATCCCCTCCCACATCACTCTCCTCCACTTCTTCCCACTCATCCTCCTCCTCATCCTCGTCCTCCTCCTCCTCACTCTCATCATCCCCATTACCACCCCCGAGACCATGCATAGGAAACGACATCCGTCCTCCTCTCCTCCTCCCTCCCCTTCCTTCCCCTCCCCAACTTCCTCCTGCTCCTTCACCTCCTCCTCTCCTTCCTGCTCGTCCTTTTCCCGCCATCCCCTCCTCCCCAGCCTCCCCCATCCCGCCAAATCGAACCATAGCCTCTCGAACGCTTGAGGGCACAGCCAGCGGAGGAGACGCCTCTGCCAACCTTTGTCCTCCACTGCCAAATGCCCCTGTTCCCTCTTGCACCCCCTCCCACTCAAACCCATCACTTCCCTCCTCCCCCTGTTCGCACTCCGCCTTCTCTCCTTCCCTCTCCTCCTCTTCAACTCTCATTTCCTCATCCTCGTCTTTCTTACTCCCAACCTCTTGTGCCACAGACTTCCCAGCTTCTTGTCCCTCTTTCCCTTCTTTCCCATCTTTCCCTTCTTTCCCTTCTTTCCCCTCTTTCCCTTCTTTCCCCTCTTTCCCCTCGTTCCCCTTCCTGGGTTGTCCCTTGCTCCCGCTGCCCCCCGCACGCCCTCCTCTCCCCGCTCCCCTGCTGCTACCTGCCTTGTCGTTCTCATCCTCCTCTTCCGGCTCAAGATGCAACCACTTGAACAGACTCGTGCACTGGTGATCCACCACCGGGGCTGACATTGGGGGAAGGGAGAAGGGAGGGTGGAGTGGAGAATGTGATTTGACCCGGTTCAAGATGCAACCACTTGAACAGACCGTGCAATGGTGATCCACCACCGGGGCTGACAATGACGGAAGGACAGGGGAGGGGGAGGACGTGTTTTGAGTCGATTCAAGATGCAGCCACTTGTCGTGCAATTCTCACCTAAAGATGGAGTGCACACACACACCCCTATCCACAGACAGGCACCCTCCTGCAGGCTGCAGCCATGATGGTGTTGGTGAGCAGAGCCAGGTGCGCCAGCCCATCAAGAGCCACTGCTGAGGCGCCGCATCACACAATTCTCACCTTTCTCACCTAAAGACACCCCTATACACAGACAGACACCCACCTGCTCCGCTTCACAAACCCACCTGCCGCCCTACCTGCTGCCATGATGGTGTTGGTGAGCAGCGCCAGGTGCGCCAGCCCATCCAGAGCCATCTCATGCCCCTTGTCCGACCCCTCGCCCCGTAAAGAGTCATTGTGTACCCTCACTGATCCAACCCTCAGCTGCACACCCTATCCACACACACATGCCCACCTGCCGCCATGATGGTGTTGGTGAGCAGCGCCAGGTGCGCCAGCCCATCCAGAGCCATCTCATGCCCCTTGTCCGACCCCTCTCCCACACAAGCACGTGCCACTGCTGCTTCTGCTGCTTCTGCTGCTGCTGCTGCAGTTCCTGGTGCTGTGGTGGCTGTAACGGCTGTAGTGGCTGTAGCAGTGGCGATTGCCTGCAGGGCGGCGTGCCTTGTCTCCACCTCGTGATGAACGATGTTGAGAGCAAACAGCTCCCACGCCGACTGATGGGGCGGAGTCAAGGGAGAAAGGAATAGAAGAAGATGGGAGAGTTCACTTTTGAGTTAGCTGGTTGAGCCCCAAAGCGCACTCACATGAAAATTGTCCTCAGGGGGAGTTCACTTTTGAGTTTTCTCAAAATGTGATTCTCGGGGGGAGTTCACATGAGCTCCTGTCTTCGGGTTTCCCATGCATGAAGCAAATACAATATGGCATGATTCGATACGATACAATTCGATAAGATGCGGTACGATACGATTCGATAAGATACGGTACAATACGATACAGCTCGATACGATTACGCACCTTCCAGACGTATCCAGGAGAGGTTGAGCGCGAGGGCAGCAGGCGAATCATGGAGTTCTGCACATTCCGTATGAGGCGGAAGACAAACAGAGGACGACAAGATGAGCAGTGGGGTTGAAACTTGAAGGAGAAGATGGGGTAGGGGGAGACAAACGAAAGGAGAGGGAGGGGTGAAGGGGTGGAGGCTGGACAGGAAAGCAGCACACAAATCCTTGAGAGATGCAAGGCCAGGTCCAAACCCTCACAGGGAAACGAACTTGAGTTTGGAGACATTTCAAAGCGCAAAAATAGTGGCACTCGACCCTGTGACACGTCTTCTCGTATGAATTATCTCCATTCGAAGCATTCAACCTGTGGTCGATAGACAGCCAAACCCACTCAGACAGACAGACAGACAAGCAGTCACACAGACGTGCCTGCCTGCAGAAGCGAGTCCACCACACCTGCTGCCGCCGGCACTAGAATGTTCTGAGTCCACTCAAAACACAGATGCCCTGGGTGCCAGAGACACACTGACACACAGACAGAATCACAAGCCCACGCACCTGGGTGCAGAAGATGACAAGGAGGCCGCTCATAGCGGTGTTGGTCAGCCAGAAGCGAGTCCACCACACCTGCTGCCACTCCTCCCACCGCCCCTCCTCCCTCTCCTCATCCAAACACCTCTTTAACGCTCTCAACCGCTCCAACACCCTCTGAAGGCTCTGAGTCTCTCTCTCTTGTCTACTGGGTCTGCTAGTCTTCCTCATAGAAGAACCAGCCGAACCAGCATCGCCAGCAGCAGCAGCACTAGCAGACGAACGGCGATGCTGATTCTTCCTCACAGCAGAACCAGAAGAATCAGCCGAACCAGCATCGCCAGCAGCAGCAGCACTACCACCGGCAGCAGAAGCAGCAGCAGCAGCACCAAGACCAACACCAACACCAGCAGCAGCACTAGAAGTATTCTTTTCACACGTCTCAGAGAGCGATGTGGGAGGGATGGCGAGGGGCAGGATCATCCTGACGTCTGGCAGCAGCAGGTTGCCAAGGCGGCGACACACAGGGCACAGGAACTCGCCCCTCGCCAGGTCTATCAGCCCACGGCCTGATCATTGTACGCAGGGGGGAAGGGAGGGAAGCAGGGTGAGAGGGGAAAACAAATGGGGGGAGGGGTTGGGTGGGAGGGCGAGTAGCAGCATTAGCACCACCAGCAGGAGAAGAAGCAGCAGGTCACTGTTTGCGGCGCCTTAAAGCGGCAGTATACATTTGTCAGGAGGGTTTAGGGTTTGTGAGTGTGCCTCACAGTTTTGAGGCAACTTTTCAAGTTCCTAAGGATTTTGAACCCCTGCTGTCAAATGTATACCGGAGCTTTAAAAGCACGGATACGCGCAGCAGCAGGTTGTTAAGCCGGCAACATATGTGGGGGGTGGCAATCATATGAAGGAGCACTTTTGTCTTTTTAGCTAGCGAGCGAGCTCACCTTCATTTCATACGGCCGATCCGCTTGGTCCCTGCCCACCAGAGCTGTTGTATGTAGCACTCAAAATGCATCGGACATCAGGAGAAAGAGCACTTGTCTTTTAGCTTGCTAGTCAGCTCACCTTCGTAAGGTCGATCTGCCCGAGCCCTGTCCACTAGGGCGGACATGTACTGGTTGTAGCACTCGAAATGCATCTTGCTTCAGTCCAAAGACCACTTGTCTGTGCAGGCAGCTAGCAGCTCTCAACTTCATATGGTCGATCCGTCCAGGCCCTCTCCGCCAGAGCTGACATGTAGTACTAGTTGTTGTACCATACATAACACTCTTAATGCATCTGGCTATAGTGCAAAGTGTTAGAATACCATCCTCACTTGTTACCTGCATCTATCCTATAAGCTTCGGCTAGAGGTAGACACCCAAATGTAGTTTGGGTGTAGAACTAGGGCTAACCCTAGTTGGGGGTTGGAACTCAACACTTGGCCCAATTATTTGGCCCCCAAGGTTGGGTTGGGAATTATTGGCCCCCCCAATAATGTTGAACCACTTTTGGTCAACATTATTGGTCCCCCCAATTATTCCTCAACCCAACTTATTGGTGGGGGCCAATAATGTTGGCTAGGTTCCCAACCAAACCCTCCCTCCTAGCACAACTATGTATACCCCTTCCATTCCTAATATCATCATCGGTTCTTCTTCATCTTTTCTCACACAAAGACCACTTGTCTGTGCAGGCAGCTAGCAGCTCTCACCTTCATACGGTCGATCCGCCCGAGCCCTGTCCACTAGGGCGGACATGTCCTGGTTGTAGCACTCGAAACCCGAAACCCGAAACCCGAAACCCGAATCCAGAAACCCTTGATTGTAGCACTCGAAATGAATCTGGCATCATTTCGAGTGCCTTTGATAGTGTGCAAAGAGCCCTTGTCTTGCCTTTTGGCTTGCTAGTCAGCTCACCTTCATATGGCCGATCCGCCCGGGCCCTCTCCACCAGAGCTGACATGTACTGGTTGTAGCACTCGAAATGCATCTGGTAGCAGGGGCAGAGAGGCAGACCAGCAGGTGGCACCATACGCACAGGAACAGGGATCGGTGCACAACCCCACAACCACACATCAAGAAATTGCACAATCCCTGTCCACCAGAGCTGACATGTACTGGTTGCAGCACTCGAAGTGCATCTGGTAGCAGGGGCAGACACAGAGGCAGGCAGGTGCCACCACGCATGCACAGAGAGACAGGGATCAGGGCACAACCACACAACCACACATCACGCATAGCGCCCTGTCCGCCAGAGCTGACATGTACTGGTTGAAGCACTCGAAATGCATCTGGTAGCAGGGGCAGAGAGGCAGACCAGCAGGTGGCACCATACGCACAGGAACAGGAATCAGGGCACAACCCCACAACCACACATCAAGCATAGCTCGCTCCTTGTCCACCAGAGCTGACATGTACTGGTTGCAGCACTCGAAATGCATCTGGTATGAGGGGCAGAAAGAGAGAGGCAGGCAGGTGCCACCACGCATGCACAGAGAGACAGGGATCAGTGCACAACCCCACCATCACACATCAAGCATAGCGCCCTGCCCACCAGAGCTGACATGTACTGGTTGTAGCACTCGAAATGCATCTGGCATAAGGGACACAGATACAGAGACAGGCAGATGGCAGGTGCTATCAGGCACCAAGAGGCAGCCATTAGGCTACACCCTCGAAACCCTCAACGGGGTGACGTTTGAGTCGACTCAAAAGAGAAGAGGCAGCCATTAGGCTACACTACACCCTCGAAACCCCCAACGGTCAAGCCGAAAGCGCAAAATCCGAAACCCCGACAGCAGTGGGAGCTTCAGAGACGGAAACAAATATGCACCTCAGTGTAGTTACACCACACAGAAACACTAGACAGGTCGAGAGCACGTATGATAGTCCAACCAGCACACCTGAAGGAAACAAGGACCCACCTGAAGCCAGCAGAGGCCAACCTGATGGCAATAGAGATCCACCTGATGGCAACAAAGCCCCACCTGATGGCAACAGAGCCCCACCTGATGGCAACAGAGCCCCACCTGATGGCAACAGAGCCCCACCTGATGGCAACCGAGCCCCACCTGATGGCAACAGAGCCCCACCTGATGGCCGCAGCATCGGATGTGAGAGGTGACTTGGGTATCCAAAGCACCCTCCACCTGCACCCCCACCGTCCACTCCACTCCCCCTGCTGCTGTATCGCTCGCATTCCCTGCAGCTTGTGCAGTGCCAGTACTGGTGCTTGCATTTGCCACTGCAGGTTGTGCTGTGTTATGCCCATGCCCCCCTGTTGCTGCTGCTGCCTGCTCATTCAATCCCGCGCTCGTTTCTGCTGCCTCAGAAGCAGCAGCAGATCCTTCCTGTTCTTGTCTCGGCTCAGCAACAGAACGAGCAGCAGCGGTAGCACGAGGAGGATTGGGGGCAGGAGCAGCAGCGGCGGTTGCGGGAGCAGAAGCAGTGGCAGTTGCGGGAGCAGCAGCAGCAGTAGCAGCAGCAGCAGCAGCAGGGTTGGGCAGAGGCTGAGCGCGGGAGTGCATGATGGCTGGTAGCTTGTACGGCTGGGCTAGAGCCACCCACCCAATGGAGGCTGTTGGCGTGGGTCGGCACTGCAGATGCGAGGAGGGGAGGAAAGTGCATGAGGATGGGGAAATGAGAAAGTACGAAACAAAAAAAATGCATGAGGCAATCCCAGCACCAGCAGCGGGTGGGAGAAGACGAGCGCGGGAGAGCACAACACAGTTGCTGGTGGCTTGTACGGCTGGGCTAGAGCCTGCCAGCCACCCGATGGGGGCTGAGGGCGAGGGGCGACATTGGTGTTTGCAGTTTTGGAATTCTCACCTCGGCATGACAGAAACCACACAGGTCCGGCTCAAATGACGTGAAAGCAGCAAGGGATCCTGGCGCTATCCTCGCCTTCCTCGCACCACCCCCCGCTGCCGCCGCCGCTGCCACTGATGCTGCTACTGCTGATTGTGCCACTGCTGCTGCTCCTCCTAGTGCTGTTACACCAGCACCCTCCCCTCTCCTTCCCTCTACCAGTTTGCCTTTCCCTTTCCCTACCCCATCCACACCTCCTGCACCCTGCGCATTAGTTCTTCTGCCCTCACTTCCCTCTGCCCCCTCATCCACCTCCATATCCTCCCCGTCCGCGTCTCCCTCTCCCTTCCCCTCCCCTTCCGCTCCTGCCTGGCCTCTCTTCCTGCTCCGGGTGCCTAACCCTCCTGCTTCCCTCCCCCCACCAGCCCTCATTCCATCCCCTTCTATCCCCCCCTTCCCTGCACACACGTCCCCTTGCTGCTCTATGTGTTTACCATCTCCACCCATGTCATTACCATCTGCACCCTCAGCCCCCCTCGCCCGGCCCCCATCAATATCCATGTCCTCCCCTGCTCCTGCAGCAGGGGCTGCTGCTGCTCCTGCTGCTACGTTGCTGCCTGTTGCCCTGCCAGTTTCCCCTGATCCTGCTGCTCCTGCTATTGCTGTAGCATCCTTCGTCTTCGTCCTCCCCTCCTCCATCTCATCATCTTCATCATCGTCAGCTGCTGCCAGCATCTTGGCAAAGGCGCTCTGCCTGCACAGACATACACGTGTCACAGTGAGTAGACAAAGGTTTTTGGTTGTGAATCAAATCATCGTCAGCTGCTGCCAGCATCTTAGCAAACGCACTCTGCCTGCACATGCACGTGACGTGAGGGGTTGAATTGAATTGACAAATTTGTCATCATAAATGTGTGGATAAATGCGTGGATACTTTTTCCAACGTCTCAGGAATCATGCCTGCAGTTGCAGACATGGGGTTCAATAAAAGAAGTTTGTTGTCATTGAAGTGCGGATAGATGGACGGCTGAATGCTAAGGGAAACACAAACTGTAATTTACTTTATCCAGATGAATTCAGGTTTGTCTTTCTCCAGATGAACGCCCATCACACGGTGTCCAGGAAACTCAATAAAGACAAATTCACTTCCCAATCAAGCCACGCAGTTAGATAACTGATTGAGTAAATAACTTGGAAATAAATATAATAAAAACAAGCAAACGCACATTCCTTTCCAAGCCCACAAACCAATGAGCAGAAGAATCCCACTCCCCACAACTCACTTGGCGGCGAAATGAGCCATGATAGCGGCCTGCCCCTGCCTCTTCTGTTTCCACTTCTTTCCACAAAAAGGCATACCGTCAGTCTCAGACAAGACATGCTTCATGCCCTGCCATGCCATGCCATGCCATGCCATGCCATCCCATTCCATCAACTCACTTAGCAGCGAATTGAGCCATGATAGCCGCCTGCCGCTGCCTCTTCTGCTGCCGCTTCGCCTCATCCGACCCCATCCCTCCTCCAGCCGCCCGCGACAGGCCCCCTGCTTCTGCTGCTGCTGCTGCTGCTGCTGCTGCTGCACCTGCTCCTGTTGTTCCACCTGCTGCCATGCCTGCTGCGGTTTCTCCTGCACCTAATGCAGCAGACCCAGGTTGCTCTGCCTTGGACTGGACACGAAGGAGGAGAGAGGGTAGAAGAGAAAGGGGGGAATGTGTGTGAAGCGGAGGGAGGGAGGGTAAGCAAGGGTGAGGGCGTAAGGGTGTGGTGAGGAGGGGAGCGAGTGTGAAACCACTCAAAGTGCAGGCAAGACTTTCGCCTCTCACATGATAGGTTTGGTCACCAGCATCCCAATTCCCACCCGCATACCATCAGTTCAACACATGATAGGTTTGGGCACATGAACTGAGACGATTTTTTATGTGCCTAAAAAATCGGCAAAGTGCAGGCAAGACTTTTGCCTTTCACATGATAGCTTCCATCACCAGCATCCCCATTCCTAGCAGCATACCTTTTGAGTGGTAACATAAAACTTCAATCATTAGCATCCCCATTCCCAGCAGCATACCATGAGTCCGTGAAGTGAAGCTCCATTGTCGCACACAATGTGAAAAAAAGCCCCAAAAAAAAAAAAAACACAAATAGAAACAAGGAAGCAGGCTCACCTCCCCGGGTGGCTCATGCGGCCGCAGGTTGAGCCTGGTCATGAGCAGCGAGATCACATGCTCTATTGCGTCCTTGAGACCTGCCAATGAGAAAAGAGAGAGACAAAGGGGTGGGAGGAGAGGAAACGGTGGTAAAGGAAACGGAGTCAAGAGGACACCAGGTTGAGTCTGGTCATGAGCAGCGAGATCACATGCTCTATGGCGTCCTTGAGGCCTGCCGGTGAGAAAAGAGAGAGACAGCCGGTAGGAGGAGAGGGTGATGAAGGAGAGAGCGAGGAAGAAGGAGTGGGACCAAAACAGTATATGCCGACAAGAAAAGGGACAAAAGGAGATGACAGAACTAAATTGGACAGAAGGGACTCAATTACCCGATTCTCTGGAGTTTTCGAGGCATCTAAATACTCACGATGATTATCAGTGTTCTGGAGTATGCTCTTAAGGGAGACGAACACATTTGGAAGCGAGTCAAAGGGCGAAATCCGCCCCTTGCCCTTGCCACCTGCCTTAGCACCTGCTGCCCCTCCCCGTGCATCCCAACCATACCAACCAACCACCAACCATACTCACGATGATTATCTGTATTCTGCAGTATGCTTTTAAGGGAGACGAACACGTTCGGAAGCGAGTCAAAGGGCGAGATCCGCCCCTTGCCCTTGCCACCTGCCCTGGCACCTGCTGCTCCCCGTGCGTCCCCACCAAAGGGTAAGCACGATATGACTGCTGCTGCTGCTGCATCGTCACTCTCTCCAGCAGATGGTGCTGTGGATAATGTGGATGGGAGGCATGACAGGACTGCTGCTGCTACATCATCCTCTGCCGCCGCCGCTGCTGCTGGTGGTGCTGCTGTTGCTGCAGAAGAAGCAGCTAAGTCAAAGTCAACATCAGCGCTAGTATCAGCACCGGCATTGTCAACACCACCAGCAGCAGCGGTGGCGGCAGCAGGAGGAAGGGGGCCAGGAGAAGCAGTAGTTGCAGTGGTGGCAGCGTCATCAAGGCTTCTTGCAATGTCTAGGGAGTGGCGAGAGGGAGAGGAGCGGCGCGAAGGGGAGGAGGAGGAGCGGAAAAGGTCAAGAGAGGAGCGTGAGGGGGACTGCGAGCGTAACTTGTTGAAGTTCCTGGAAATTCCCTCCAGCCAGCGAGGCGAGCAGCTCACACAGGCGACGTCATCATCTGGAGAGGGGAGGGTGGAAGAGCAAAGGGTGGGAGGGGGGAAGGTAAGAGAGGGGTCTGCATTTGAGGCGCCTGAAAAACAGACCCCGGAAAGTTTCTTCCAGCCTAAGAGGCGAGCAGAGCACACAGGCGACATCACCACCACCATCAGATTTCTGGAAAATGTTCACTATTAGCAGGGTCTTGATCCGTGTTGCCTTCATCATCAGCTGTCAAACAATATATGCATGTTTAGGTTATCTAGGCTGTATGGGGGTTAGCACTAGGGGGTACAATATTTCTCTCGACATTCTTCTTGCACCCCCCCCTTGACCTAATCACATCATCACTTCCTAGTATTCTAACATGGTATTAAGAGCTAGGACGGTCCTAGCCTAGGACCGTAATTAAGGGCCCACCACATTCGTTTTCACCTGCCCGACCGTTAGTTTCTGCCCTGCCCAGCGTTTCGCGCTGCCCTGCCCTTTTCTGCCGTGCGCAGCCCGTACAATCCGCGTAGGCCCGAGCACAGCCCGTACAGCCCGCGCCAAGCCGTCGCGCAGCCCGTACAGCCCACGCCAGGCCCGCGCGCAGCCAGTACAGCCCGCGTAGGCCCGTCGCGAAGCCCGTACAGCCCGCGTAGGCCCGTCGCGAAGCCCGTACAGCCCGCGCCAGGCCGTCGCGCAGCCCGTACAGCCCACGTCAGGCCCGCACGCAGCCCGTACAGCCCGCGCCAGGCCCGCACGCAGCTCGTACAGCCCGCGCCAGGCCCGCAAGCAGCTCGTACAGCCCGCGCCAGGCCCGCACGCAGCCCTTACAGCCCATGCCTGGCCCGCACGCGGCCCGTGTTACTGCTGCACCATGTGCTCGGGGGTGAGTGTGCTCTTGGCACGGACGTCCTTGAGGACAGGCAGGAGGACCTTGAGTGTTTTGCAGCCACTGCGCCTCATCTCGTGTCCATGCTGCTTGCCCCTGAGGGAGACCCGGATGCTCCAGACATCCCGACCCCGCGCTCTTACGCTGAGGCGATCGCGGGTGAGTACTCCTCTCAGTGGCAGACAGCCATGGACGCAGAGATGGCATCCTGGAAGTCCACAGGCACCTACGTCGACGAGGTTCCCCCACCTGGGGCGAACATCGTCAGTGGCATGTGGATTTTCAGGGTGAAGCGGCCGCCGGGTTCTCCGCCTGCCTTCAAGGCGCGTTACGTTGCACGAGGTTTCAGTCAGCGAAAGGGAGTAGACTTCTTCCAGACCTTCTCCCCCACCCCGAAGATGACCACTCTTCGGGTGCTGCTGCACGTTGCCGCTCAGCGTGACTACGAGCTTCACTCTCTTGACTTCAGCACAGCCTTCTTACAGGGCAGCCTGCACAAGGAGATCTGGCTGCGCCGCCCACCTGGCTTCACTGGGTCGTTCCCTCCTGGTACCCAGTGGAGCCTCAGGCGGCCGGTCTACGGTCTCCGGCAGGCGCCACGTGAGTGGCACGACACACTGAGGACGACACTTGCGGCTCTTGGGTTTGCTCCGTCGACTGCTGACCCGTCGCTGTTTCTGCGCACCGACACTTCGCTGCCACCGTTCTACATCCTCGTGTACGTCGACGACTTGGTATTTGCCACTGCTGACACTGAGGCTCTCGCCCTGGTGAAGTCGGAGTTGCAGAAGAGACACACGTGCACAGACCTGGGTGAGCTGCGCAGTTACCTTGGCTTGCAGATCACCGGGGACAGAGCACGCCGCACCATCACACTGACTCAGTCACACATGGTGCAGCACGTCCTTCAGCGCTTCGGCTTCACCTGGTCCTCGGCACAGGCCACTCCTCTGGCTACAGGTCACTCGCTCTCAGCTCCACCTTCGGACGAGTCCGTAGAGCCGAGTGGTCCTTACCCAGAGCTAGTTGGCTGCCTCATGTACCTGATGACCTGCACTCGTCCTGACCTCGCGTACCCTCTTGGCCTTCTGGCTCGCTACGTGGCTCCTGGTTGGCACCGAAAGGTGCACATGGATGCTGCTAAGAGGGTACTGCGCTACTTGTGCAGTACATCGGGCATGGGGCTCGTGCTTGGAGGACGGGGCGACGTTGTCCTCACTGGTCACTCGGACGCTTCTTGGGTTGACGACCAGGCTACGCAGCGGTCGTCACAGGGTTACACCTTCAGCCTTGGCTCTGGTTCAGTTTCTTGGCGTTCTACACGCTCGTCTTCAGTTCTCAGCTCCAGTTGTGAGGCTGAGATCTACGCCACAGCCATGGCTGCACAGGAGTTACGCTGGCTCACCTACCTGCTGACCGACCTGGGAGAGCGGCCTCGTTCTCCTCCAGTGCTGTACGTCGACAACAAGGCAGCCATTGCCTTGTGTTAGGAGCACAGACTGGAGCACAGAACGAAGCACATCGCTCTGCGTTACTTCCTGGCTCGAGAGTTGCAGCAACGGGGTCAGCTTCGTCTTGCTCACGTGGCCACTCGGGCCAACACTGCTGATATATTCACCAAGGCACTTCCGTCTGGTGATCATCAGCGCTTTTGTACTTTGTTGGGCCTTGTGCCTACGTTTCCACACTTGCTGTAGATTCTGCTTGTACTGTGATCTATACATATATACCTGCATGCTTGCTCTTGTTAGGTAGTGATCACTGTGCTATTGCTGCATATACATCTCTGCATGTGAACTGGCCTTGTGGCCTCTTGCTTGTGCTCAGAGTGTGTGGTGACTTTGTGATCCACCCTGAGCTGTGTTTTGTTTCTTCTCTTGACTGGTCTTTTGACCTTTGCTTGCTCTGGCTATCCCCCATTTCGCCTATGGGGGTGTGTCAAACAATATATGCATGTTTAGGTTATCTAGGCTGTATGGGGGTTAGCACTAGGGGGTACAATATTTCTCTCGACATTCTTCTTGCACCCCCCCCTTGACCTAATCACATCATCACTTCCTAGTATTCTAACATCAGCAGCAGCAGCAGCAGCAGCAGCAGCAGCGGCAGATGAACGAAATCTGACTGACTGCAGTCGCTCCGAGTCCCACTCACTCTCCCCACCGCCCCCACTCCCACCGAAAGCTCTTTGAGAGTTCTCCCAGTTGCATGAGATGCTGGAGAGAGAAGGACCATAATTCCTTATAACCTTTTACTCATCCTCACCTTCATCAACAGCAGCAGCGGCAGAGGAACGAGATCTGACAGACTGCAACCGCTCTGAATCCCACTCGCTCTCTCCACCGCCCCCACTCCCACCACTGCCACCGCTACCACTGCTCCCACTGCTGCCAGGTTTCTGGGTCGAATATAAGCCGGGGGGATACACGGGAGGCCGGGAGACTGGTGCGCCCAGCACCATAGCTTCCTTCCACAGCCAGCTTGGGTTGGACCTGAAAAAGGGGGCGAGAGGCAAAAAGAACACACGGAAGATGAGATGGGGGGGGGGGGGTACACATGAGGCTGGGAGGGGAGGAAGAGACTGGTGCGCCCAGCACCATAGCTTCCTTCCACAGCCAGCTTGGGTTGGACCTGGAAGGGGGATGAGGGGCCACGAGATACACGGAGAGAGGGAGGAGAGGAGGGATTGAGCAGGGATGGACGAAGGGGAGGAGACTGGTGAGCATAGCATCATAGCTTCCTTCCACAGCCAGCTTGGGTTGGACGGACCTGGATGTAAAACGAAGTGCAAGGGGAAGCAGAGAATTAGTGAAGGAAAAGACTGATTCTCATGGAAAGCAGAGAGAGAGGAAGCAGAGAGAGGAAGCGAAAAAAGGGGAGACAAGAGAGGAGATGGGAAAAGGGCAACTGGGATTGGGGCAGCAAGAGGGAGCCAGGAGCAATGTGATAGGTGAAGGCTGTTGGTGCTAAATTCACCAAGGGAGTTGCACACCGGCATACCCCACCCCACCCCAACCCACCCCACCCACCTGGCATCAGTAGCAGCCAGTGTCACGAGCTGCGTGGCGAGGAGAGCGATGTTTTCTGCTTGCGTGCTGTGGGCTGGGTTGCGGGAGGCGAGCAGGTGGGCTCACCTCTCTAGCACGGGAGGACAGCAGGACAGCAGGGCACCCACCCACCTGGCATTAGTAGCAGGACAGCAGGACACCCACCCACCTTGCATCAGTAGCAGCGACAGTCACGAGCTGCGTGGCAAGGAGAGCGATGTTTTCCGCTTGTGTGCTGTGGGCTGGGTTGCGGGAGGCGAGGTGGGCTCACTGTTAGAATATACTTATACATGCATGCTCTAGTTTTGGGTGTAGTGTGGGTAAACACCCTAATTGGGGTGAACCCAAATATCCTAGCTTAGACTTGGTTCCAACCTTGTTGGCCAAGTGGGGTTGTCAAACCATCACTGCCCCATGTGCTGGGGCAACCAACTTTTGTTGGTTGGCCACCATCCCACTAGGTTGGTTGGATGGTCCTTCCTCCCACTAGGCTACTTGGTCTTGGTGTCTTATGTGCTAGGTTTGGTGTTCCTCTCCAACCTTCTCTTGCTTGTATAACCTTGTGCTCTCTTGAGCTAATCTTAATGATTCTACTTCATAGTTTCTTTCATGGTATTCAGAGCCTAAGGCAAATGCCACTAGATCCTAGGCCTAATAACAAATTTCCTTCTATCTTTTTTTTACACTACAGCACCTAAGCGAAATCGTCGCGCGGCCTCTTAGAGCAAGTCGATATCCTGTTCTTAACAAACTCACGGGCCCCTCTGCCCGTCGCGTATCATCCGCTAGCATCCGCGAGAGCCCCTTTGCTCGTCGCGTAACCTCCGCTAGCGGCCGCGTGGGCCCCTTTGCTCGTCACGTCACCCCTTATACCGTCCGCGCGGGCCCCTCTGCCCGTCGCGTCACCTCTGTTAGCAGCCGCGCGAGCCCCGCTTCTCGTCGCGTCACCTCTGCTAACGGCGGCGTGGCCCCTCTGCCCGTCACGCCACCTCTACCCTTATTCGCGCGGACCTCTCTGACCGTCGCGTTACACCTGCCGGCAGTCGCGCGGACCACGTGTTCCGTCGCATTTCCTCTGCCAACAGTAGCGCGACCCATTCTACCTTCGAAATTTCACTGCCAGCAGTCACGCGGACCTTTCTACCGTCGCGTTTCCCTGCCAGCAGTCGCGCGGACCCTTTCTACCGTCGCAATTTCACTGCCAGCAGTCGCGCGGACCTTTCTACCGTCGCAATTTCACTGCCAGCAGTCGCGCGGACCTTCCTACCGTCGCGTTTTCCCTGCCAGCAGTCGCGCGGACCTTCCTACCGTCGCGCTTTCCCCGCCAGCAGTCGCGCGGACCCCTCCTAAGGTCGTGTTACCTCTACCGACAGTCCCGCGGACTCCTTTGACCGTCGCGTCACCCTTCCTAGCAACCGCGCGGACCCCTCTGCCCGCCGCGCTACCTCTGCCAGCACCACGGAGCAGCTGCGCGTCCCTCCCCACATTGCGCGGCGGCGGAGCTGAACAGCAGCAGCACCGGTGGAGCTGAACAGCAGCAGCAGCGGCGGAGCTGAACAGCAGCAGCAGCGGCGGAGCTGAACAGCAGCAGCAGCGGCGGAGCTGAACAGCAGCAGCAGCGGCGGAGCTGAACAGCAGCAGCAGCGGCGGAGCTGAACAGCAGCAGCAGCGGCGGAGCTGAACAGCAGCAGCAGCGGCGGAGCTGAACAGCAGCAGCAGCGGCGGAGCTGAACAGCAGCAGCAGCGGCGGAGCTGAACAGCAGCAGCAGCGGCGGAGCTGAACAGCAGCAGCAGCGGCGGAGCTGAACAGCAGCAGCAGCGGCGGAGCTGAACAGCAGCAGCAGCGGCGGAGCTGAACAGCAGCAGCAGCGGCGGAGCTGAACAGCAGCAGCAGCGGCGGAGCTGAACAGCAGCAGCAGCGGCGGAGCTAAACAGCAGCAACAGCGGCGGAGCTGAACAGCAGCAGCAGCGGCGGAGCTGAACAGCAGCAACAGCGGCGGAGCTGAACAGCAGCAGCAGCGGCGGAGCTGAACAGCAACTCAACGGCGGCAGCAGGAGCGACACTCATGGCGACCGACACTGTGCCTATTGACACCGGCTCCATCGTTCGCCTAGAGGTCCAGGACGGCACTACCGCACTGAATTGGCACCGTTTCTCACAGAGTCTCACCGGCGTCCTCCGCTCCACCATTGTGGGCGGCTTTAACCTCCACTCCGTTGTCTTTGCCGAACCGGATGGCCTTGAGCCCCAGCCACCTCCCTCTCTTGGTCTTGAACCTCCACCTCCGCCACCCAATCCTGGCGACGCACCTCGCCCGCCTGATCTCCCTCGCCTTGTGACCGACAACACCACCAATGCCTCGCGCCTCACCACCTATGCGGAGGAGGTGGCAACACACACGCGATTGGTGGATACCCACAAGGCAGCCCTTGCTGCTCACACCACGGCTACTGCTCTACAAGCGAAGTACACTGCTGATAAGACGTCGTACACCTCCCAGCTGACTGATTTCAAGTCTCGCCATGCCGCCTGGTGCATTGCCGACACTCGGGCTATCGGCCTCATCAACTCCTGCATCCCGACCTCACTCCAGAGCGAGCTTGACGCCACTTCCTCTGCAATTCTCTGGCGCGCCCTCTGTGATTTGTATGATCGCCGAGACATGGCATCTCTTCATGCCCTCTATCGTGACTTCAACGCTATCACCCTTGACACCTGCACCGGCGCAGCTGACTATACCCGTCGCCTCAACAACACAGCTCGGCGTCTTCGGGAGCGTGGGGCCACTATTGACGACCCCCTCCTTATTTGGCGCATCCTCGAAGGACTCACCCCGGCTTATGAGATGCACCGCATCGCCTACGACGTTGTTCTCTCTCCCCACGCCACGGCTGCCGACGTCACCACATGGGTCCTTGATACTGAAGCCAAGCTTACCCGCCAGTCCCCCTCCACCCTCAACTTCACACAGGGACGCGGAGGGCGTGGGGGGCATGGTGGCAAGGGTCGTGGTGGGGGGCGTGGCGGAGGCGGTGGTGGTCGAGGAGGAGGGGCTGGCGGTGGGGCTACAGGTGGGACGTTGGGAGGTGGAGGGGGTGCTGGTCGCGGTGGTCGCTCGGGGGGTTTTCCCCCTTGCTCCTATATCATTCAGCAGGGCCCCAACAAGGGTCAACGCTGCAACCAAACCACCCATCCTACTGAGACCTGCTTCAAGGCCCTCAGTGATGAGTGGTTTGCTCGGGGCAACACAGGTACCCCTCCACGCTGGTCCACTGTTACCCCTCGCCCCACTGTTCATGACGTTCGAACTCTTCCCGCCTATCAGCCACCACCTTCTCAGCTACACCAGACTCTGGCGAGTCACCTGCCTCCCCACCTCCTGCACCAGGTACAAGTCTTTCTTCCCCCTCTTCCAGATCAGCAACCGCAGCAGCAGCAGCAGCAGCAGCAGCAGCAGCAGCAGCAGCAGCAGCAGCAGCAGCAGCAGCAGCAGCAGCAGCAGCAGCAGCAGCAGATGCACCCGGGGTTCCAGGGCCCTCCGCTTATGCAGCAACAGTACCCGGGGCCACAGCATCACCCGGGATACCTGGGTCCCCCCCTCCTCCCTTATCCTCCCCAGCCACAGCAGCCCCTTCTCCAGCAGCAGCCGTTCCCTGGCTACCCCTCCACCCCTGGCTCCTCTGCAGGCATGATCAGTCCGTTCCCGCCCAGCAGCTTCATAGGGCAACTAAGCAGCACTGCCCCGCCTGTTTCCTCTTTGTATCCTGCATCTATTAATGAGAACTCGTTTCAGTACTCAGTGTCTCCTCCTCACCCTCCCACCCTCGACTTTCTCATTGACAGTGGTGCGTCTGATAATGCCCTCCGCGATGCAGGCTCCCTTAAATCCCTCCCCGCCCCCTTTCCTGTCCTAGGTGCTGACTCTAGCTTCACCATTCCCTGCCACCAGTCCTCCACCCTCCCATGTGCCCTCTTCCCGTCAGGTTCTGTCACTGGCCTGCACATCCCCACCCTTCGTACTAACCTCATCTCCCAACGTGCGCTTGCGCGCGCTGGGATCATTACTGTGTACCCTGCCTATTCTTTCCACTGTGACCTCATTTTCGCCCACACTGGTCGTCTCGTTGCACGCGTTCCACTCTGTCCACGCACTGGGTTGTACACCTATCGGGCCCCTCGCCCCGCATTCTGTCACACCACCATTTGTTCCCCCCCACCTACTAACCCACCCCCCTCTACTACGCCCCCCCACTGTTCATGTCGCTCTCTCACTCACCCCTCTATCCATCTCCACCATCGCCTAGGCCACCCGAACTTCACCACCCTCTGCGATGCTGTCACCTCTCCCCTCCTCCGTTGCCCCACCGTGTCAAACATGTGTTAAGGGCAAGCTCAAACAGGCGCCTCACCCGAGCAATCCCACTTTTGCTGAGGCGCCGCTTGACCTTGTTCACCTGGATCTCTGGGGTCCTAACCCGTCCCCCACCCGGCAGGGCCACAAGTACTTCCTCGTCCTGGTCGATGACCACAGCCGGTATTCCTCTGTCAAGCTCCTTCATTCGAAGGCTGAGGCGCCGACTGCGATCATCGCCTGGGCTGAGCAAGTACGCACCCACTTTGGGCGCCCCGTCCGCCATTTCCATTCCGATGGTGGCCGGGAGTTCCTTAACCACCAACTGTCCTCCTATTGCACCTCCCATGGCATCCGACACACCTTCACACTTCCCCACTCCCCTCAACAGAACGGTGTTGCCGAGAGTCGTGTTCGGGAGATTACTAAAATTGCTCGGTGTCTCCTCGTCCATGCCTCTTGCCCACCGTCCCTTTGGGGATATGCACTCCTCCACGCCTCCCTCCTCATTAACTTTTACCCACACCCTGTCCAGCGCACCTTCTCCCCCACAGAGCTCTGGACCTCCATCAAACCCGATGTGTCTGGCCTCCGTGTCTGGGGGTCTCGTGCCCTTGTACTCATTCATCCCGCGAACCGCTCCCGAGCTGCGGGCAAACTTGCCTCCAAAGCACTTCCCTGCATCTTCCTTGGTCACAACTCTGAATCTCCTGACTACCTTTTCCTCCACCCCTCCTCCGGCCGTCTCATTCGCAGTCGTGATGTCGTCTTTGATGAATCCTCCCCATTTTACTCCTCCCTCCCTACCACTGACCCCCTCCCTCTCATCACTCGCCCCCTCACCTGGTCTGACACCGTCTCCCCTCCCCTCCTTCCTCCACCCACAGTCCTTCCCCCAACAGCTCCTCCTCCCCCACCACCTCCTCCTGCCCGCCTTGCGTCCTCCTCCTCCGGTGACATAGTTGACCCAACTCACTTCCCTCCTTCTCCATCCCACTCCTGAGCTCCTCCTCCACCATCATCTCCCCCCCCTCAGCCACCTTCATCTTCAGTCCCTCCCCCCCCTCCTCCTCTGCCGCAGTCTCGCCCTCCCATCGTCCTTCTTCCTAGACCACATACCCGCTCCTTAGACCGGATTCTTGGTAAGCCTCCGCCTCCATCTACTCTCCTTACTACACCCCTCCCTCCCTCCACCTCCTCCGCCTCTTGCTCTCCTTGCACCAGCGGCGACGGTGGAGGGACCGCACCGGCTGCACCAGTGGGTCCACAGCAACGACAGCAGCAGTGGGCCAGCAGCAGCGGCAGCAGCGGCAGCGGCGACACAGGGTCAGCGGCAGCGACTACGGGGGGCCCTCTGCAGCGGCAGCAGCAGTGGGTTGGCAGCAGTTGCAGCGGCAGCAGCGGACTCACCACAGCTGCAGCAGTGGGGCATCCGCAGCGGCAGCAGTGGTGTGTCTACAGCAGCAGTGGCAACAGTGGGTTGACAGCAGTCGCCCTGCAGCAGCGGGTGCAGCCGAGTGGTTGGGGAGCTCCTGCAGCAGCGGAGCAGTGGCGCAGACACGGCGCTATCCAGCAGCTCCGCCGCCCTCCCCTACTTCCCTCGTCCAGCATCCTCCCGCCTCCCTCCGCCAGCCTCCTTGTCCCCCCTTGCCTCTTTGAAGACACTCATGAGGAACTTCTTACCCTCCACTCCCTCCTCCCAGCAATCGTTCCTATCACACTCGACATGGCCGGCGCACCCGTCCTCGCGCTCTCTGGTGCCCCCTCCATCTTCGAACCCTCCACCTTTGCTGAAGCTGATGCACATCACTGGTGGGCGGCCATTCGCAAGGAGTGCGAGGCGTTCATTCAGAACGACTCATTCGTTGATGTTTCACCGCCACCTTCTACAAACATCGTCGAGGGCAAGTGGTTGTTTCGCGTCAAGCAGCTGCCTGGGGAGCAGCCGGTCTACAAGGCCCGCTATGTCGCCAAGGGCTTCACGCAGACGTGGGCACTGACTACTGGGAGACCTTCTCGCCCACTGCCAAGTTGCCTACCATCCGCGTCATTCTTGACATGGCGGCACGCCTGGGCATGGTGATCCACTGCATGGACGTCTCCAATGCGTTTCCGCAGGGGGATCTCCATGAACAAGTCTTCATGCGACGGCCGCAGGGGTTTCATGATTCCTTCCCTCCCGGGACGGTGTGGGAGCTGCGTCGCCCGGTGTATGGTCTCAAGCAGGCGCCTCGGGAGTGGCATGCGAAACTGTCTTCCACCCTTCAGGCACTTGGCTTCTCCGCCTCCAAGGCGGACGTCAGCCTCTTCCTACGCACCTCCCCCTCTCGCTTCTACATTCTGGTGTACGTCGACGACATGATCCTGGTGGCGGATGATTCAGCTGAGATGACTCGCGTCAAGCTTGAGCTCCAGACTCGCCTCTCCTGCAAGGACCTTGGTGAACTGCAGCACTACCTCGGCATGACCATCACCCGTGATCGAGAGGCTCGCACCATCACACTCTCTCAGTCGTTCTATCTCGAGAAGGTTCTGGAGCGCTTTGAGATGGCTCTGGCGCACCCCATGCCCACCCCCCTCCCCTTTGGCCACCAACTCTCTCCTCCCGAGACCCCGACCTCCTCCCTCTACCCGTATCCGGAGCTGGTCGGATCTCTCATGTATGCTATGATGTGCACTCGCCCCGACCTGGCATACCCCATCAGCGTCCTCGCTCGTTTTGTTGGTACTGGGCGCCACACGACAAAGCACTGGCAGGCGGCCAAGCGGGTTCTGCGCTACCTTCGCGGCACCAAGGACTATGTCCTCACTCTCGGTGGGACCTCACCGTTGTCCCTCTTGGGGTACAGTGACTCGTCTTGGGCGGATTGCCAACCCGACCGACGTTCCTCCCAGGGCTATGGCTTTACCCTTGGTAGCGGCCTCATCAGCTGGCGTGCCACTCGTTCTTCCGCCATTGCCTTGTCCACTTGTGAGGCGGAGCTGTACGCTGTGACCATGGCGGCTCAGGAGGCTCGGTGGCTTGGCTTCCTTCTTGACGAGCTTGGTGTCCCGCAGCCTTGCCCCACCATCTGGTGCGACAACGCGAGCACCATCCACCTCACCAAGGATGCCGTCTTCCATGGCCGCTCCAAGCATATTGAACTCCGCTACTTCTTCGTTCGGGAACTGGCCCAGCAGGGGCTCTTGCAGGTCAAGAAGATTGATGCTTCCGCAAACCTTGCTGATATTTTCACCAAGGCGCTTTCTCGTTCTGCGCACTCTGCCCTCCTCCCCCTCCTGGGCCTCGGTCCACCTCCCTCCTCTTGATTCAGGGGTTGTTTACCTCTCTCACCCAGGCACTATAGCTTCTGCATGTAAGGGGTTGTGTTAGAATATACTTATACATGCATGCTCTAGTTTTGGGTGTAGTGTGGGTAAACACCCTAATTGGGGTGAACCCAAATATCCTAGCTTAGACTTGGTTTCAACCTTGTTGGCCAAGTGGGGTTGTCAAACCATCACTGCCCCATGTGCTGGGGCAACCAACTTTTGTTGGTTGGCCACCATCCCACTAGGGTTGGTTGGATGGTCCTTCCTCCCACTAGGCTACTTGGTCTTGGTGTCTTATGTGCTAGGTTTGGTGTTCCTCTCCAACCTTCTCTTGCTTGTATAACCTTGTGCTCTCTTGAGCTAATCTTAATGATTCTACTTCATAGTTTCTTTCACTCACCTCTCTAGCACGGGAGGACAGTAGGACAGCAGGACACCCACCCACCTTGCATCAGTAGCAGCCACTGTCACGAGCTGCGTGGCAAGAAGGGCGATTTTTTCTGCTTGCGTGCTGTGGGCTGAGTTGCGAGAGGCAAGCTATTGGGCTCACTTCTTTCGCACGGAAGGACAGCAACTCGTGCAGTGACCAGGGAAACACCACGATACTGGGACACCACAAGAGTAACAGAGAGTGACCCACCAGCACAGCCATCCCACCCACCTGGCATCAGTAGCAGCCAGTGTGACGAGCTGTGTGGCAAGGAGAGCGATGCTTTCTGCTTGCGTGCTATGGGCTGAGTTTCGGGAGGCGAGCAGGTAGGCTGCACATGCGAGAGCACAGCGCACCACAATGTGACACGGCTGTAATGGTGACGGGGGAAGAAAAGGGAGAAGAGGAGGAAACGGTTCGCAAAAGGGTGCTACTTCTTGACTTTCCACCAAAGCTGGGTTGGGAGAAGCGAGCAGGTGGGCTGCGCATCCAACAGCACAGCGCACCACAACGTGACATGGCTGTAGTGAGACAGGGATGGGTGAGGGGAGGGGAGGAGGGAACAAAGTTGTGGAGCCATGCCACTCAGGCAGGGTTGGGAGAAGCGAGCAGGTGGGCAGCGAGCAGGTGGGCTGCGCATCCAACAGCACAGCGCACCACAACGTGACATGGCTGCGAGAATGGAAGGGGAAGGGTAGGGCAGTAACGGGAGAGTTGGGAAGGAACGGAACAAAGTAGAACAAGGGACCAATTCTCAAAAAGGGGACCATGTCTAAACATTGCGGAGCAGAGCTGGAGAGAGGGGTACGGTTGGGTCGAAACAGGATTGGCAAGGAAAGGAGCCATGTGTGCCATTCAGTATACTGAAATGAATCAAGGCAGCAGGAAAGAGAGCTCACCTCGGTGTGAGCCATGTCCGGCAGCCTATCAAACGGCGCCATGTGTCGCTGCGGGCACTGCACTCGCCAGAAGCGCACCTTTGGAGCCAGTCTCTCTGCCCGCTCCTGCATACATAAACGCACAGCAGCACTCACAGCATACACATGGAGGTGGGGAGAAAAGGGGGTGTCACGTCTCAAACTCAGAAGCGCATCTTTGGAGGCAGCCTCTCCACTCCCTACTGGCCTGGCCAGGGAGAATCAAACAAACAACCAACCTCTTCTCTCTTTCACCCCTCCCTCCTCCAACCCGGGATTGGAAGCAATGCCCTCAACCGTCCACCTTGCCTCTTTTACCATCGATTCGAAAGGACCTTTGTCACCTTTCCCCTACCCCCTCACCTGAGCCTCCTCTTTCCCCAGCGTTTTAAACTCCCCCCAACAGGCGGGCAGGACTATGCACTTGACCTGAGACGAGAGAACCTTCCCCTCACACCATCTTACCTGCGCCTCCTCCAGCTCTGAACGTGAGTAGTGGGGGAAGAGCGGGTCAAACTCCTCCCAGCAGGCGGGTTTCAGTCTTTGAGGAAGGAACCATGCACTCGACCTACCGCATTGCCTCCCTTTCCATTGACTTGAGAGGACCTAGTCACCTAACCCCCATCCCCTCCTCCCGTCCCTCACACCATCTCACCTGCGCCTCCTCTAGCTCAGAGAGCGAGTAGTGGGGGAAAAGCGGGTCGAACTCGCCCCAGCAGGCGGGTTTCAGCCTTTGGGGACCATGCAACTGCACTCGACCTTCCCTGCTCCATCTTCCCCCACTCACCCCAACGCACTAATCTACCCACCGTCTCACCTGCGCCTCCTCTAGCTCTGAAAGCGAGTAGTGGGGGAAGAGCGGGTCAAACTCGCCCCAGCAGGCGGGCTTCAGCCATTGAGGGGACCATGCACTCATACTTCCGCCTTGCCAGCCACACACTCACCTGAGCCTCTTCTAGCTCTGAAAGTGAGTAGTGGGGGAAGAGCGGGTCAAACTCGCCCCAGCAGGCGGGCTTCAGCCACTGAGGGGACCATGCACTCATACTTCCACCTTGCCAGCCACACACTCACCTGCTCCTCTTCTAGCTCTGAAAGTGAGTAGTGGGGAAAGAGTGGGTCAAACTCGCCCCAGCAGGCGGGCTTCAGCCACTGAGGGGACCATGCACTCATACTTCCCCCTTCCCAGCTGCAACCCACTCACCTGCGCCTCCTCTAGCTCAGAGAGCGAGTAGTGGGGGAAGAGCGAGTCAAACTCGCCCCAGCAGGCGGGCTTGAGCTGGAAGTACCCGCGCTGCTGCAGGCGCCGTGGGACATGGTGCTCTGCCACCTCTTGTAGCACTGCGCTCAGCTGGGGGAGGCTTGCGAGGGAAGAACCGAGTTGCTGGGAGAGCTGGAGAAGGGAAGTGGGCACAGGGCGCAAGGGGAGAACGGAGGGAGGAAGAGAGTGGGACGGCTGCGGCACATGATGCTCTGCCACGTCCTGCAGCACTGCGCTCAGCTGGGGGAGGCTTGCCAGGGAAGAACCGAGTTGCTGGGAGAGCTGCATAGAGAACAGGGCACAGGGAACAAGGAGAGAGGAAGAAGAGAGTGGGCCGACTGGGCGCATGGTGCTCTGCCACGTCCTTCAGGACCACGTTCAGCTGGGAAGGGAAAGGCTTGCAAAGCACAGGGCTTTGCGAGAGATGCAAAGTTGTGAGGGCACAGGGCGGAAGCAAGTGAACGAGTGAGAAGGGAGGAAGGAGAGTGCAGGCCACCGCGGCACATGAGAGTGTTGAATATGTGTGTGCTGAAGGCCACACCGTGACGCTGTATGTTTCCAACACAATATGCTACATGTGAAAGGCAAGACAGTATACATGGTGAAAGCAACAACGCTGTATGTGGTTAAAGGCAAGATGCTACGTATGTGTGTGAGGTGTGTGAGCAGCAAATGGACTTACATCGCTGTGAGTGCGATCACGCACTGCAAGCCACTGAATGACATGGTATCGCAACACGTAGTCCTGGAAATGGGTGAGGGGAGAGGGTGAAACGACAGAGGAGGGTGAGAAGAGTAAAAGCAGAGAGTGTTGAGGCTTGTCAACTGGCCAGCGCACAGCAAGCCACTGAATGACATAGTATCGCAACACGTAGTCCTGCGAATGGGCGAGGGGAGAGAGAGAAGCAAACAAGGCTCATCAACTTGGTCGCATATTGCAACGATGCAAGCAATGAATGACATGGTATCGCAACAACACAACGGCATTGGGGAAACAGGACGGGTGAAGTGAGACGATGTTTGAGCTTCACATTGGTCAACGGCGTGGTAGTGCAACATGCACTTGGTCTCGCTTGGATGGAAAGAGGTCTAGTTTTGAGGCGCCTCAAAGAGGGTCTCCCCCATGCATCTCTCCTCCACACTCACCTCTGAAAATCCCGTGTGCTTTGGGTCCCGAATGATCTGCACAGACGTCATGCACATAGATTGACATCAGGAACCATGACAAGAACCATGGCCTTATAAAGTGACGCATGCACAAATGTCACGAACCAAAACAAACGGCTCTTGCGACGTCTTAAAAGAACCAGGACAAACCAAGTGCTAAGTGATGCGTGCACAGCACTCAAATCAAGCATAACGGAAGTGTTGTGGAAGCGCGATAGAGATTATATGGAACCACAGAAAATTCACAGAGGAAGCGAGGCGAACAGAGAGCACAAAGTGAATGGTGCACCACTCAGCACTACATGCGCATCAAGCGACAAATCTCACCACACTGCACCGCTCAGCACCGCTCACCAGCAGGACAAGCTTAATCAGATCAGCCAATCGGCTGAGCTCTGCTGCTGTCCAGTCAGCACTCGGGGCAGATGACGAAGCTGATGACGTGGCAGAAGCGCATTGGATGGTTTTGCTGAATGTATCGTGGAGCTGAGAGGGGGGAGGGGGGGACGGAAGACGGGGCAGCAAGTGAACACTAAGGCTCAAGAGGATTTCTTGCGTCATGTGTTGTTCTCTTGCGCTTGTGTTGATTGGTATGGTTATGCTATGAGTGAAATTCAAGACCAACCACCACAAGCGCAAGCGAACAACACAGCACACTGCGGGGTTTGACAGAGCAAAGGTAAGCAAGCAGAGCGGCACGAAGATCAATGCATTAGCAGCAAGCAGAGGTGGTCCTCCTGTCTGAGCAAGATCAGTACACACCTCACCTCTCCTCCTGTCATTAGCATTCACTGCTAATGACTGAAGGCAGAGGCGAGGTGGGCAGTACAGGAATCACAGGCGGCTGACAGTTACTAGGAGCCACGAGCAGCGAGGTGAGGTGTGTATGCTCGCGAGTCATTCGCAGCGAGCAGAGATGCAGGGGAGTCGGAGGAGAAGAGGGAGACGAGCTGCAGCAGCAGCAGGTCGAGGTGCTCGGCAGCCGGCCAGTTGAGGCTTCACTTCATTCACCCATAAAACACACGCAGCTTACGCTGAAGGGCATGACAGCGGACGCGAGGAGAGCGGCAGGAGAGTCGGAGGAGAAAAGCGAGACGAGCTGCAGCAGAAGGAGGTCGAGGTGCATGGCAGCCGGCCAGTAGCCTAGCGGCTGGGTACTCACTCAACCACAAAACTCACACTGAAGTGCTTGACAGCAGATGCTAGAAGGGCAGCAGGGGAATCATTCGAGAAGAGGGAGACGAGCTGCAGCAGCAGCAGTTCGAGGTCCATGGCAGCCGGCGAAGGCTAGCGGGCGAGATGAGCTTGGGCTTCAACTATGCAGCACACACAACTCACACTAAAGTGCTTCACGGCAGAGGCGAGAAGAGCAGCTGGAGAATCATTCGAGAAGAGGGAGACGAGCTGCAGCAGCAGCAGGTCGAGGTCCATGGCAGCCGGCCAATAGCCCCCCCGATACACCCTCTCCAGCTTGCTCAGATCCTCGCCCTGGTAGTGCCACTCGCGCGCCCGAATCTGGTAGTTGAGAAGAGGGTGTGTGGGTGGCATAATAATCGGTGCAGATAGGTTCCAGTCCATCCAAACAAGACAAGACACGCAACCAGCTTGCTTAAGTCCTCTCCCTGGTAGTGCCACTCCCGCGCCCGAATCTGGTAGTTGAGGTGGCACACGAGTTGGTGGACATCAGTTCCAAACATCAACATCGCTCCATCATTTGTTACATAATAGATATTTCCAAGGAGAGGAGCGAGGAGAGGAGTGAGGGGAGGGACTGAAGAGGAACACAAAACCAGAAAGCAAGGGAGGACTGACCTGGGCCATCCAGGCGAAGAGGCGAAGTGGGTGCTCCGCCATTGCCAGCACCTACCAAGGAAGAAGGGGCGAGGAGATGGGGAGGGCGGATGTGGAGCAGCTTGACTAATTGGCCATTGATAATTCTCAAGATTGGACCCGAGCCATCCAAGCGAAGTAATCTAGTTTTGAGACGTCTCAAAAGTGGAGCAGCTTGACTAATTGGCCCTTGATAATTCTCTTGACCCGAGCCAACTTTTGAGGCGCCTCAAAAGAGATGGGGAGGGCGGATGTGGAGCAGCTTGACTAATTGGCCATTGATAATTCTCAAGATTTGACTCGAGCCATCTTTTGAGTCGACTCAAAAGTCACCTCATCTTTTGAGTCGACTCAAAAGTCACCTCGAAAGTGGAGCAGCTTGACTAATTGGCCATTGATAATTCTCAACATTTGACCCGAGCCATCCAAGCCGAGTAACGAGCTGGATGCTCCGCCATAGCCAGCACCTGAGAAGGAAGGAGAGGTGATGCATTGGGAGGGAAAGTGAGAGCGAGAGAGAACCATCCATCAGATCAGACTCACGAAGCTGACTCGCCTGGCAACGATATTGAGGGCACAAAGCTGATATTGTGCACCTCTGTAGTGTGCACACTCCACCTCATTTCTGCACACTCAACTACATGCGCATGTTGAGGGGCAAAAGCTGCCGCAAGTGAGCCACTGATGCTGCTGGCCCTGAGAAGGCACACTTTCGCGCAATTCTATAAATCCACCCATCTTCATCCATTTGCATAGCTTGCTCTCCCCACCCCACCCACCCTCACCTCTCTGCGCATGTTGAGGGGCAGAAGCCGCCGCAAGTGAGCCACTGATGCTGCTGGCCCTGACCCGCCGCTCGCATCACCCCCATCACCACTGCCACCGGCACCACCACCAGCACCACCACCAGCACCAGCACCAGCGCCAACGCCAACGCCAGTACCAGCAGCAGGACCACCAGCAGTGGCCGGCACAGTGTGGGCAGCGATGTGTATGATGGAGGCGAAGAAGAGGGAGAGAATGCGGTGCAGAGGCAGGTGCAGCGACATGGCCACTGTCTTGCTCCCCGTGTCCTCCACCTTGATCTGATTCTGCACGGGTGACAGAGAAGAGGGATGCCAGAGAACGGGGGATGAGGCAGGTCCAAAAGCAGTGGGCATAGTGCACGAGGGAGGCAAAGAAGAGGGAGAGAATGCGGTGCAGAGGCAGGTGCAGCGACATGGTCACTGTCTTGCTCCCCGTGTCCTCCGCCTTGATCTGATTCTGAACAGACAAAGGGAGGAGAGAGGTGAGAGCGCAAGGGATTTGAGACATTCAATCAGCCATCGTTGCGTTGACTCCCCTTGACCAGCATCGACTCCCCTTGGTCGGCATTGACTCCCCTTGACCAGCATTGACTCCCCTTGACAAGCATTGACTCACCTTGAGCAGCCATGCCTGCAGTGCAATCCGGGCTCCATTCAGCAGAGCATGCTCTGCATCCACCCCCACCCTCTCCTGATCGATACATGTGCGCTACATCGATGATGGTCTAATCGTATGGCCGGGGACGCGGGCAGATTTGGAAGCCTACCTGCGCACCTTCAATGAGCTTGATCCAAACATTCGGATCACATGGTCTGTTTCGGACTGCTCCATCGATTTTCTGGACGTGGTTCTCTTCAAGGGACCGCGGTTTAAGGAGCAGGGTACTTTGGATTTCGGCACGTTTCAGAAGCCGATGAATAAGTATCTCTATCTTCCCTTTGCTTCCTTCCACCCACGGCACTGCAAGGAATCCTTCATTCGCGCAGAATTGAAGCGGTACCTGCTCCGCTCTACATCACCTGCGATTTTCCTCGCAACGAAGAAGGCTTTCTTCGGCCGGCTTCGTGACCGTGGTTACCCTCCTGCTTTTCTGCACCCAATCTTCCAAGGCGTCACCTTCGCTCACCGTTCGTCACTCCTCGCCACTACCATCGCTAACCAGGCGCTCCGGCAACAGATTTCTCTCCCATCCCGTGGACCCCTAGTTCTGAAGACGCAGTACACTTCGGTGTCTGCTCGTCTCGGGCTAGGGGTCCTTTTGAGTCGACTCAAAAATCGACTCACTACACGCGGATTATATGTGGAGAGGATTTTTGTTGCATGGCAAATTGGTTGTAACCTTAACAGGTTACTGGTACGCGCGCGACTTCCACAGTTGCTGCCTGGCGAGGATGCGAATTCGAACTTCAACGACGACGCTCCAAGGATTGAGGACGTGGCCACCTGAGAAATTTTCAAGGGTGACATGTACTGGTCCCCGTATTTCGGGCTGACCTGGTGTAGATAACATAGAGATCAGTTTTTCTGAGGCTTCGTTTCTTCTTGAAGCGTAGCTTAGCTCTGTTTCTTTCATTAGCACTGATGAAGGCCTGCTAGGGTAGCCCCTTAACGGCCGAAACATGTTTGTTTTACTCTACTGCTGAAGTTCTTGAGCTCGGATTGTTGAGATCTAAGTTTTACAGAAGGGTTTTTACTGTCTATCTTTTGCTTTAAGCCTGAATAAGTTTGCTGCTCGCTGAGAACATGTCCCAAGACCAATGCAGCCGGCCACCCGTCCCCCCCACCGTGCGTCCCTTCCTAGCAACTCTTGTATCGACTCAAAGACTCACCTTTACCAGCATTGCCTTGACTTGACCAGCCATGCAAGCAGGGCCTGCAGTGCCTTCAGCCATGAGACTAGGCGAGCTGCAGCTTAGGAGAATTCTTTAGCAGAAGAAAAACAGTAGAGTTTAAAACTCTTGTGTTGCCAGTTCAAAAAACAAGATCGAAACTGAGCTCTAAGTCCACTACAACGATTAAAACGCAAACATGTTTCGGACGACTGGGACAGACCCCCGTCAATCCTTCATCAGTGCTAGCGGAACAAGAAACTAGAGCAGAAAGAGCAACCCTTAAGCAAGAACTACCCATCAAGAAACAATCGAGGTTGGGTACAACCGTGGCTGAAATCTGGGCAGCCAATCCACAACACCCTGGAAAAAACCGAGGGGCTGAGGTCTTCACTCCTCGAGGGGTAACGCTGTTGAATCACAACTCGCCAGCTGGTGTTTCGGAAGCCTCGCACGAACAAGTAACTTTTGCAAGTTACAACCTGTTTTCCAAGCAACAAACAATTTCTCCATATAAAATCCGCGGGAGAGTAAGCGTGTTTTGAGACGTCTCAAAACTACCCCTAGCCCGAGTCGAGCCGACACAGGTGTGTAGGTCGTCTTCAAGACTAGGGGCCCGCGTGTAGGAGGAGATGTTCGTCGTTGTAACTGGTTAGCGAGGGTGCTGGTGAGAAGAGTCGCACGTTGTGCGAAATGGACGCCGTTGAAGATCGGTCGTAGGAAGACTGGCGGGTAACCGCGGGCACGAAGTCGCTGGAAGAAAGCGACCTTCGTCGTTCGGAAGGCCGTCGCCGAGGTCGAGCGTAGCAAGTAGCGCTGCAGTTCGGCGCGGATGAACCCCTCTTTACAGTGCCGCGGGTGGAAGGAGGAGAAGGGGAGATATAGGTACCTATTCATCGGTTTCTGGTAAGTACCGAGGTCTAGGAAACCACGTTCGTGGAAACGAGGCCCTTTGTGAAGAACCACATCCAGAAAATCCACGGAACGTTCCGAGATGTTCCACGTGATCCGAATGTTCGGATCCAAGCCGTTGAAGGTGCGCAGGTACTCCTCCAAATCAGACTGCGCGCCTGGCCAAATGATAAGGCCATCGTCAATATATCGGACGTGGTAACAAGGTGACACCCCGGTCCATCTCTCCTTCAGCAGCTCATCGAGACGACTCATGAACAGGATGGCGAAGCAAACGGCGACAGGAGTTCCCATCGCGGTCCCCTGCACTTGGTGGTACATCCGGTCGTCAAATTCCACAAAGGAATTTCTCATAACCCAACCCAGAAGGGCCATGAGCGGTTGAGCGAGCTGCGGGTTTTCTCTCGTCAAGAAACTGCTAACTGCTTCGAGTCCTCGGTCGATGGATATGCTGGGGTAGAGCGAGGTAACATCGTAGGTAGCTAGGAGGATATGAGGCGGGAAGGCCGTTGTCTCCAGCTTCGCTAGCAGTGCGAGAGAGTCGCGCAGGTAGGTAGCTCGTTTTAAAACTAGCGGTCTGAGTTGCGCATCCAGCCATCGACTCGCATTAGTCGTCACCCATGAATGAGAAGCTGCAATCGGACGTCCCACGGGTAACTTCTTATGGAGTTTAGGCAGGATGTAGAACGCCGCTGGGTGCCACCCTCCTGGCGGTTTGTCAAACAGAAATTTCCAAATACTGTCTGGGAAAGCAGGCCCCCATGTCGCCTTCAGCTCACTCAGCTGCTGCAGAACTCGAGGAGTCGGGTCGTGACGAACCGGCCTGTAGACATCCGCGTCGTTCAGGTGTTCCATGCACATCGCGACGTAGTGTGCTCGATCCATCACGGTAACTCCTATATTCTTGTCAGCTGGCTTGATGACGATGCTGCTGTCGAGCGATAGGGAACGTATAGCCGCACGTACACTCCGTGAAAGGTTCTGTCCACGCAGCGGCTTACACGTCTTCAGCAGGAAAGAAAGGTCGGCTCGCGCCTCCTTGAAGACTTGCTCCGGGACCTCGTCCCGATCGGGCCACCAATTAGGATTCTTCACCCGGAAACGTGATGAAGCTGATGGTCCTTTCCCCTTGAAGAAAAAGTCGAGGGAGATCTGTCGATGCAACTGATGCAAATCTGCTTCGATGGAAAAGTTCCAGGCTGGCGTTGGTATGAACTTCAGTCCCATCCCGAGCGCTTTGGTCTCGTCGCGAGACAAAACCTTAGCGCTCAGGTTGTGTACTCCCCGGTTCAGAATGCGTGACTGTGCCTGTCGTAGAGTTAGCTTCCCGAACCAGCGGAGCGCGAGGTCCCGAGGTGTTAGTTCTTGCGCGGCCCTTTTCCTGGGCCGCCGCCGCCGTTTTTTGGAACCTGGGCCGTAGTTGAGGAAGTTTGTTGGCCCTTCCCTCCGTCGCCGCCTGAAGACTTCGCTTTTTTCTTTCCTTTCCCGCGACGCCGCGTAGCCTTCGGTACATCTGCCTTGGAGCCAGTGTTCGTCTGGCTCTTTGACGGGTCCGCCTTGGGCTTCGCTGCTGCGGGGGCCGACTTGGAATCCTGCGATCCCATCGACAAGCTCTTCTTAAACTTGGCAGTAAGCTTCGCTTCGACGCTCGCCGTAATCTCCTTGCGCATCGTCTCCGCGTACTTCTGAGTAGCTTTTCGAACAAGCTCGTTGATCGTCGGGTCCGTTTCCAGGTGCTCCATCTCTTCGGCAGCGGCTGCTTTCTTCAAATCTTCAGCGTCCCTGATCCTCTGTCTCTCCAGCTCCTTGATGATGATATCATCTTTGGCTGCAGCAATCTCCGACTTGGCTTTCTCGATGCAGATCCCTTTGATTTTCCGGAATTTTTCTCTAGCCGCATCAGATACGGTTAGATCCGGATCCGCAGTCAAGCTTTTGATGTAGTCTTCGAGCTTAGTAGCCAGAGTGGTGAGATGTGAGGAGGACGCCGCCAGGATTTCCTCAACCTCCAACTCCTTAGACTTGATGAAATCCTCCTGAATGCGCTTCTGGTTCTCGAGATGAACCGAGGCGACGGACGCGGCAGATTTCTCCCGAGTAACCGGGTACTTCGTCTGGAACTCCACGACCTTGGTGCGGATGCTGTGTAAGATCACACCTTGGCCGTTTAGCGTCTTCATCTTCTTCAGTTTGGACTTCGCCTTGAGGAGCGCCTTAAAATCCTCTCTGAAGCCCTTGACAGCAGCCGTCGTCCAGCCTTTTAAAAGCTCCGGAATCGTGACGGACGTGTTAGTGGCAGCTGACGGGTTGACGGGAGCCATGTTGACATCCTCGTCGTTCAGAGAATCCATGTCGGCAGCGTCGGGAGAATTTCCTGTCTGCTTGTTATGCTCGTTGTCCTCGTGAATTGGTGCAGATGCGCCAGCGATTCCGTCAGCGTTGCGAGAACGTTTGTAACCCGCGTAAGTTTTCGGGAATGGGCCTGCTTCACGGGGAACTAGTGCGAAACTCGAATTTCCTAAGCCGGCGTCACCCGTAGAATTTGGGAGACCCCAAGTACCTTCAGCCATGAGACTAGGCGAGCTGCAGCTTAGGAGAATTCTTTAGCAGAAGAAAAACAGTAGAGTTTAAAACTCTTGTGTTGCCAGTTCAAAAAACAAGATCGAAACTGAGCTCTAAGTCCACTACAACGATTAAAACGCAAACATGTTTCGGACGACTGGGACAGACCCCCGTCAATCCTTCATCAGTGCTAGCGGAACAAGAAACTAGAGCAGAAAGAGCAACCCTTAAGCAAGAACTACCCATCAAGAAACAATCGAGGTTGGGTACAACCGTGGCTGAAATCTGGGCAGCCAATCCACAACACCCTGGAAAAAACCGAGGGGCTGAGGTCTTCACTCCTCGAGGCGTAACGTTGTTGAATCACAACTCGCCAGCTGGTGTTTCGGAAGCCTCGCACGAACAAGTAACTTTTGCAAGTTACAACCTGTTTTCCAAGCAACAAACAATTTCTCCATATAAAATCCGCGGGAGAGTAAGCGTGTTTTGAGACGTCTCAAAACCAGCCATGCAAGCAGGGCCTGCAGTGCCATCCGTGCCCCATTCAACAAAGCATGCTCTGCATCCAATCCCCCCTCTCCTACTCTCCCTCCTCATTGCCCCTCCCCTCCCAATCTAGCCACCCCTCCCCATGAATCCCCAGCAACTTTTGAGTCTCGACTCACCTTGGCAATCGTTGACTCACCTTGGCCAGCGTTGACTCACCTTGGCCAGCGTTGACTCACCTTGGCCAGCGTTGACTCACCTTGACCAGCCATGCAAGCAGTGCAATCCGCGCCCCATTCCACAGAGCATGCTCTGCATGCATCTACCCCACCCTCCCCTGCTGCCCCTCCTTGCCCCTCCCCTCCTGAAGAATTTGTCCCTCCTCCAGTGTTCCCAGCAGACTTTTGAGTCTCGACTCACCTTGACCAGCCAAGCCAGAAGCGCCTGCAGTGCAATGCGCGCCCCATTCAGCAGAGCATGCTCTGCATCCACCCCCACCTCTCCTTGCCCCGCGTCTGCCACTCTTCCAGTGTTCCCAGCAGGCGGGGCGAGGATGGTGGTGGGGAGAGTGGAGGGGGAGGCGGTGTAGCGCTCTGTGATGGCGTCGATAAGACCAATCACCAGCATCTGCAGGGCGAGGGGTTGGAGTGGGGAAGGGAAGGGAGATGTAGAGGGAGGGAAGTTAAGGGACGAAGAGAACCAGTGGAGGGGGAGGAGGTGTATCGCTCTGTGATGGTGTCCATAAGACCGATCACCAGCATCTGGGGGGGGAAACGGGAATATAGGAAGAAGGGCATTTCGGGAGGGAGAGAGAGGAGGGGCAGGAGCGTCAGTGAAGGGAAGGAGGTGTAGCGCTCTGTGATGGTGTCCATAAGACCGATCACCAGCATCTGGAGGCCCAAGGGGAGTGTGGGAGGAAGGGGGGTTTAAGGGAGGGAAAGGAGAGGCAGGCGGGTCACTGGAAGGGGAGGCGGTGTAGAGCTCTGAGGCGCCTCCGATATAAACTCGCCTCCGATATAAACTCGCCTACGATATAAACTCGCCTCCGATATAAACTCGCCTCCGATTTAAACTCGCCTCCGATATAAACTCGCCTCCGATATAAACTCGCCTCCGATTTAAACTCGCCTCCGATATAAACTCGCCTCCGATATAAACTCGCCTCCGATATAAACTCGCCTCCGATATAAACTCGCCTCCGATATAAACTCGCCTACGATATAAACTCGCCTCCGATATAAACTCGCCTCCGATTTAAACTCGCCTCCGATATAAACTCGCCTCCGATATAAACTCGCCTCCGATTTAAACTCGCCTCCGATATAAACTCGCCTCCGATATAAACTCGCCTCCGATATAAACTCGCCTCCGATATAAACTCGCCTCCGATATAAACTCGCCTACGATATAAACTCGCCTCCGATATAAACTCGCCTCCGATTTAAACTCGCCTCCGATATAAACTCGCCTCCGATATAAACTCGCCTCCGATTTAAACTCGCCTCCGATATAAACTCGCCTCCGATATAAACTCGCCTCCGATATAAACTCGCCTCCGATATAAACTCGCCTCCGATATAAACTCGCCTCCGATATAAACTCGCCTCCGATATAAACTCGCCTCCGATATAAACTCGCCTCCGATTTAAACTCGCCTCCGATATAAACTCGCCTCCGATATAAACTCGCCTCCGATATAAACTCACCTCCACTTCCCACCACCAATGCTCACCTCGAGCGTGACGGCTTTAGTCCACCGGGTGCCTTCAGTGAGGTCGCCATACTCAAAGCGCACATATGGGTTCATGCCCTGATGGGGAGGGAAGATAGGGCAAGAGGTGGAACGCATGAGCTTACATGCCCCCACATGGGCTCAATGCAGGCAGTGGCATGAGGAGAGTCCATCCACCGGGGGCCTTCAGTGAGGTCGCCATACTCGAAGCGCACATATGGGTTCATGCCCTGATGGGGAAGGATGGTTAGGGGATGGGGTGGTTATGTTTAAACCTATACGCCCACACACATGTGAGCTCAAGGAAAAACAGCAGTGTTAAAACTTAAGCTGAAAACAGCTATTGCTAGAGAAAATCGTGGTGGTGCTGTCTAACTTAGTGCAAAAGACGTGGTGGTGGTGTGAAGGAGAGAGAACGGAAGGAGTGTGAGGAGGAAGAGTTGACCCTGTTGCAAAGAGGGCGAGACAAGAAAGACCTGACCTGTAGCAGGAAAAAAGGAGATAAACGGCTGACCTGTAGCTGCATACATGGTGTGAGAAGGGCTGACCTGTAGCAGGGAGTGCGTGAGCAGCAGATCAGCTAGACAGTCGAGACGCTGAGTGAGGAGGTAGTTGACAACAGGCAAAGAGCTGCCCTATAGACTCATAGAGGGTGTGAGAAGGGCTGACCTGTAGCAGCGAGAGCGTGAGCAGCAGGTCAGCTAGGCAATCGAGGCGTTGAGTGAGGAGGTAGTTGACGACAGGCGTGTGGGAGAAGATGAGTCTCATGTCATGCAGCGGACGCGAGTACAACGGATGCAGGTTGCTCTGATTGGAATGGTGGGGGAGAGGGAGGGAATGGGGTGGATGGGGAGGGAGGGGGAAGGAGAGGAGCAATAGAATAGAGAGAACAGGAGGTAGTTGACGACAGGCGTGTGGGAGAAGATGAGTCTCATGTCGTGCAGCGGGCGCGAGTACAACGGATGCAGGTTGCTCTGATTGGAATGGTGGGGGAGAGGGAGGGAATGGGGTGGATGGGGAGGGAGGGGGAAGGAGAGGAGCAATAGAATAGAAAGAACAGGAGGTAGTTGATGACAGGCGTGTGGGAGAAGATGAGTCTCATGTCATGCAGCGGACGTGAGTAGAGCGGATGCAGATTGCTCTGATTGGGGGAAAAGGGAAGCAATGGGGAGATAGGAACAGTAGAATACTGAGAACAGGAGCGAAAGAAAAGGAAAGATATTGGCATTGATAAAATAAAATAAAATAAAAAAGAAAAGAAAAGAAAAGAAAAGAAAGAAAAGGGAGTGGGGAGGAGATGAGGGAGAGAAAAGGGAGTGGGGAGGAGATGAGGGAGAGAGAAGGAAGTGGAGAGGAGATGAGGGAGAGGGAAGGGAGTGGAGAGGTGATGAACAATAGAATGGAAAGAACAGGAGGTGGTTGATGCTGCATACATGCATCACTCACATGTGTCACTACTTCCCGTGGCCAGATGATGGGACTCTCACAATTCAGCACTCCTGTCGGCCTGCCACCATTAATAATGGTTGATGTTGGAGGGGCGAGAGAAGGAGGCAGGGAAGAGAAATGGAAAGAGAAATAGAGAGAGAAATGGAGAGTAGGAACGAACTGAGGTGAGACTGTTGGTAGCAATTTAACGCTCACCTTAGAGCATACCTGCAATATCCCATAGAACATGCCAACGTTAAACGAAAGGAGCGAATGGCGGTGTAAGGTTTGGCAAAGGTAAGAAACGAAGGAAGGTAGAAAGACAGACGGGAAAGTGGAGAGGGCACGGTGAGTGACACATAAGCTTCAACGCTCGCTTTCCCAGCAGAAGCAGCAGAAGCAGCAGCAGCAGCAGCAGCAGCGGAAACAGGTACTCACGACGTGGCGGCTTGTAGAACTCGGCAGAAGACAGAGACGAAGAGGTGGAGGAGAGTGACAGTAGAGGTGGAGGAAGAGGCGGAGGAGGTGGAGGAGAGTGACAGAAGTGGCACACAACAGTGGCTCACAATTTGGCGGTTTGTAGGACACGGCAGAAGACAGAGACAAAGAGGTGGAGGAGGTCCCCCGAGAGCACCCAGTGCATGGTGACCTCGGGGATGTTGAACAGCTGCACCATCACTGCAATCAAGTACAGTACAGGTATTACAGGTGTAAACACAAACACATGTATTGTATGTAGGGTGCGTATGAGGGAAATGAAGTCCCCTGAGAGCACCCACTGCATGGTGACCTCTGGTATGTTGAACAGCTGCACCATCACTGCAATCAAGTACAGTACAGGTATTACAGGTGTAAACACAAACACATGTATTGTATGTAGGGTGCGTATGAGGGAAATGAAGTCCCCTGAGAGCACCCAGTGCATGGTGACCTCTGGTATGTTAAATAGCTGTACCATCACTGGCATGGGGGGGGTATGTGTAGGGGAATGAATGGGTGTGAATGAGTTTGAAGGAAGTGAATACAAGAGGTGGAGGAGGTCCCCTTGTTCTAATACCTTCTGTACAACATGCATATGCTAGAATAGGTGTAGGGTTGTTGGGTGTACCTTCAACCACTATTTGTGGTTGAAGGTTGGTTGGGTTCCCAACAGTTATTGGACCTCCAATATTGTTGTTTCAAACCCACCCAATAATTATCGGAGCCCCAATAATGTTGGTCCAGCCAAAACAACTATTGGGGCCTCCAATAATGGTTGGCCAGCCTCATCCATTACCATTTTCTCCACCTATGTATACTTTGGCTCATTTGAGCCTACAATCATTACAGTTCTTCTTTTTCACACCCCTGAGAGCACCCAGTGCATGGTGACGTGACCTATGGTATGTTGAAGGCGGGCGAGTAGAGCACTCAGCAGCAGGAAGAGCATCGCCTCCTGTGCCACCACCTCCTTTGGCATGGCAGAGATCGTTTCCAGAAGGCGGCAGGAGGGGTGGGAGGAGATGAGAGGAGGCGGGAGGATACGGGAGGAGGGAGGGGGCAGGAGGCGGGAATCAGCACTCACCTCGATCGAGGGCCTTTTCGATTTTGATGAAGCGGGCAGAGGGGTTGTGATCCGGAAGGACGGAGAGCACGAGGAGTGGGTATTGGCGAATGAGCAGCGCTGAGAAGACGGTCTTGAAGGCGGGCGAGTAGAGCAGCAGCAGGAATAGCGTCGCCTCCTGTGCCACCACCTCCTCTTGCAACAAACAGAGGCCACAGGCCACAGGGCACCGGATGCAGGGTGCAGGGCACAGGGCGCAGGGCACAGGGCGCAGGGCACAGGGCACAGGGCGCAGGGCACAGGGCACAGGGCGCAGGGCACAGGGAGAAGAGCACTCACCTCGGTCCAGAGCCTTCTCAATCTTGATGAAGCGGGCGGAGGGGTTGTGATCCGGGAGGACGGAGAGCACGAGGAGAGGGTAGTGGCGGATGAGCAGCGCTGAGAAGACGGTCTTGAAGGCGGGCGAGTAGAGCAGCAGCAGGAAGAGCGTGGCTTCCCGTGCCACCACCTCCTCGGGCATCGCTGAGAGGGTTTCTAGGAGGAGTTGGACGGCGGAGGGAGCAGGGGGGGGAGGAGAGGAGAGGGAGGCTGCTGCCGCTGCTGCTGTTGCTTCTGTTGGTGTTAGTGCTGCTGCTGGATCTCCTCCCCCTCCGGCCCCTCCGCCTGCCCCTTCAGTCCCACCTCCAAGGCGAGTGTCGCTCTCTGTTCTCCCCTCTCCCGCCCTTCCCTCCCCACTTCCACCCAGTATACCCCTCCCTGTCCCTGCGTTTCCCAAGCTCCCAACGCTCCCAATGCTCCCTGTGCTCCCAATGCTCCCTGTGCTCCCTGAGACGCCCATTTGATTTACAACAGCCAGCACTTCCAGAGGGAGGGGCGCCGCCATGCACGCACACACTATGTCTCTTATGCCTGCTGCATGCGATATCTGAGAAGGAGAAAGGCAAGAAAATGTAGAAACATGGGGGTGGGGAGTTGAAGCTGATCTTGAGAGGCACCTGAGACGCTACCGGAGTCACATGCTTGCCTGCTTCATTGTGTGCTGAGAGGGGGGTGCAGCCATGGCTCTCACAGACTCACTGCCGTTCCTTATTTTGAGCCCCTCAAAAACAGACTCACCTTGCTCACAGGGAAAGAGCATCTCACCTTGTCAAGCCACGCAATGAGCTTGAGTAGGTCTCGGGGGGGTTGCAGCGGGGACTTCACCGCCTTCCCCACCTGCAGCACCAGCTGCGCCACCACTGCTGCCACAGCCGTTTCTTTCTTTAAGCCCCTCAAAAACAGACTCACCTTGCTCACAGGGAAAGAGCATCTCACCTTGTCGAGCCACGCAATGAGCTTGAGTAGGTCTCGGGGGGGTTGCAGCGGGGACTTCACCGCCTTCCCCACCTGCAGCACCAGCTGCGCCACCACTGCTGCCACAGCCGTTTCTGTCACCTGCCCGAGATTCCCGGGCAACGGCTTGGGTGTGTCCGCTGAGTGCTCCTGATGGCGGTGGCGCTTGCAGGCACTGGACAGGAAGTAAATGATCAGAACAAAAAGAAGTAAAGGAAAGAATCAATGAATGGCAGTGGGTAACATTGTTACCGTAACAAGGAATTGCTCAACTGAAGCACACAGTCACGCACCTTGCATGCAAGCATAGTCACAAGCCCATGAAGTTTGTGCGGCAATCTTTATGACAAGAAATCATTCCTTCCCCCCAAAAAAAAGAAAAGCTACATATCCGCCCCGCATTCATTGGTATGAGTCACCTCATAACAAAGTGACTTTTGAGAACTCATTTCATCACCTCATGTCGAAGCAACATACATACCCTTTGGGATTCCAGGAGGAAGGATCGCCACAGTCACAGCAGCCGCCTGACTCACTGCGGTACATCACTGGCAGTGCAATGAGGGGTCAGAATAATGGGGTTTCGGGATTGGGGTTGGGTTCAGAACAATATAGAGATAGAAGTGAATCTGAGTCGGTTGGCCTCCTGACCTAACTCACTAAGTGAGTGAATCATGTTGGAGGTTCGTGGTATTGTGGTGTGGGGTTGGAAAAAAATCACATTAGGTTCGGGACAAAAGGTTACTAAGCAGTACGCCTCGACGCCAACAATCTTCCGAACCAACATGCACCCATGCTGCACAAGAGAACAATACCACCACTTTTATGAAGGTACCCTACTTATGAACGTACCATGGTCATGAACGTACCATGGTCATGAACGTACCATGGTCATGAACGTACCATGGTCATGAACGTACCATGGTCAGTACCATGGTCATGCACATACCATGGTCATGCACATACCATGGTCATGCATAGGCCATGCACATACCATGGTCATGCACATACCATGGTCATGCACATACCATGGCCATGCATATACCATGGTCATGCATATACCATGGTTATGCACATACCATGGTCACATGCACATACCATGGTATGGTAATGCACACACCATGGTCATGCACGTACCATGGTCATGCACGTACCATGGTCATGCACACACCATGGTCATGCACGTACCATAGTCACAAACCTACCGTAGTCATGATTGCGGTGGTCCCCCTCCTGAAAGCACTTCACGCAAATGGCACTGGTGATGGTAAAGCGGGGAACGGTGGGGAGAAGAGTGGGGAAGTGGTGATGGTGGGTGGGAAGGGGCACAGCTGTCAGGTGATGTCATTCAATAAAAGGAAACAACACACAAAGGACACATTGACCAATCGTATATGTTACAACATGCTTCTTCACATTGATCAATATTATATGCTACAACATGCTTCTTCACCTTTCCTCCTAATCAGTGTGCTCCATGAAAAGGTGTCGTCTGTGCAGGCAGGCCGGTTTGGACTGTACTAGTCACATTTAGTCGCACATTTGGTCTTGAATTCGCGATGTGAGCAGCATAAGGCGTACGTCCACACCCCGTTCACTAATACGAAAACGTTAACTTTCACATCACGACCCCGTTGACTATCACGACTCCGTTGACTTTTGAGACATCTCGAGAAAACCTGCCTGGCGTCGTTGATCTGGCAGTCGCGGCAGCGATACGCGATCGCGCCGTACGTCCACACCACGTTGCACTGCGACGCGCCTTGCTCCGCCTCGAGCTCCTCCAGGTAAGCGCCGAATCCGCCGGGATGTGCGCCGCAAAGCACGGTCTCTAGAGCCACCAGTTCCGAGTCTTCAACCTTCACTAGCTCCTCAAGCCACCGCTTTAACTCCATCGCGGCCTCGCGACTCGTTACGACAAATGCTGCCTTCTAACTAAACGTGGCTGATTCTAATCGTCTTCAGCGTTGTTGGTCGTTCTAGTGGAATGATGAATTCCTAAAATTTCCTGGTCGGTCACCGTGCAGCAAACTCGCCGCCGGTTCGCAGCACCGACACGAGTTTCGTTGCGTATGATGCGCTGCTATCGGCCTCGCTACACTAGCTGAACGAAAGAAGACTCAGGCAAACTGCCTGAAGACTCAGCCATGGTAGTCACGAAAGTCTGGAGGAAGCTAGAATCTGTGAGGGATGACTCACTGACCGACCCAGCAATAGTTGCCTGAATCCGATTACTGTAGCACGTGGACAGGCATTCCCCGGCGAGGTGAATTACGGTTTAGAGCGTTAATGCAACTTTTACAAACGGCTGAGTACGCTCATGGAAAGCTGAAGTTTGAGTGGCGGATGAGCATTGGGCACCAGCGGGCCCTGAGTTTTCTGGCGCGGGGGAATGGAAAGGCTGGGCTGCGGAGTCCTCTGGCGGGCGGAACCGCGGAGTTTGGGCGGAGAAAAGCCTAATCATAGAAAGCCACGAAGCTCATCTTTTCGTGATAATTTGAGCTCAGAAGCACCTCGGGATTGGATGAGTTGAAGCTCTGTCCATTTGTGAAGCCAGATCCCTCGTCAGCGCTGACCCGGATCGTATGTGTCAGGTGTGATAGTACGTTCACCATGGTTTGTTTTGGTGATTAACGTTTCAATACGGTAAAGAGCTGTATAACAGGGGACGAGGCCACGAACGCGGAAGGCTTGGAATGGCGAACTGTACAACCCGAAGTCGAATTGAAGGCGTGTCATAAGAGTTCACTTCATTACGGTTATATGCGATATAGTGCGCTTCAGAGTGATTTGTAATACTTTTTCAACGTTTAACTAGGGTTCTTAGCGAAAGCGAACTCTCATGACACGCCCTTAGGAACCTTGCTCTGAAACTGGCCTCTCCGACAAATGCGCAAATTCTATAACATACGGAGAATTGCTGCTTGTTTAGTTGCCACTCCGGTAATTCTCTTTTTTCTACTTCACTTCGGAGAAACTAGTAGCTGCTGCGGAATAGAAACGCTTCCGTGCCATACAGAATTCTGATGTGAGAGCTAGAACTTTGTGCCACTAGCATCATGGCGGTGCCACAGGCGCTGCTGACGTATAGTCCTTTCGCTGAAGGTCGATTGGGTCTATGCACTGTTACCTCCTTAAACCTCTCCCACACCACCCGTCACCCTGATTCGTCTCCTAAGCCACATAGAACACGTCCTTCACAATGGAGATTATCGCATGGCACGCTGCAACAACGGCCTCATCTCCTCTGTTCAGTCTCTTATCGTGGCGACTGTAACATTAGTAGACTTCTCAGATATTCTCGCCAGTGTGCGGTAACCCGCTCTAGCGACCGCAGATTGCCTTCGTTTCACCAGATCCCGCGTTCAGCGAGCCCCGCATCGTCAGGCAAGTCGTTGACAGCGATTTCTGTCGCCGACGCTGTTGCTGACGGAATTCGTCCCAGTCGCCGTCAATCTCGCAGCGCACACGTCAGGGAAATCGACGGCCAGGAGAATGAAAAGGAGATCTTTGAAAGGAGCGACGGCAGCGGTAAGCTGTCGGGCGATGAGAAGCAGAAAGGGTCATCTGACATTGAAGCAGGTCCCATTCCTCCTGAGATTTCAACCCAGCCTATCTCAAACGAGACTGTCTCAACTCAGAGCCCCCGTGATCAGAGTTCCATCGTCTTCGTCCAGGGGAGTTTACTCATTGAGGATGAATTCTCCTTCAATGGTTCTCGCGAAGCCGTGCTTACGTCTCTTTCCGCCAAGTTCCCAAAGAAGCTCGCTCCTTTTTCCGAGTCCTACAGCATCGCCAGCGAAAACCTCCAAGTGTTACTTAGTTTCGAAGACGATTCCTTCGCGATCAGCGGAAAGCAGCTTCTTGGCATCTTCAACCGCTTCCCATCCCTCCTCACCTCTTCCCTGGATGCTTCTTCCGTTCAAAGCCGCATTGATCTGTTTCGCCGTTACGATGTAACCCGATCTGCATTTTTCGACCTCTGTTCCCGCTCCAACGTTCTCCTGTTCCCCGTCGAATCCCTAGCGGAGAATCTGCATTACCTTCGGCAAGACTTGGGCGTCGTTAGAATCGAGAAAGTCCTGAAATGCTTCCCGCTGGTGCTCAATCTCTCCCTGCCGAACCTGGAGGAGAAGGTTCGGCAGCTGAGGCTCGCGGGGCTAGGTCCGGTGAGCGAGGTTCTCGAGAGATCGCCCTTCGTTTTAAGCGCACGCGCGTCGGAGATCCAGCGAAAGGTGGAGCTTGTAAAGAGATTATTAGGATCAAGCAACGGTGTGGATGATCCGATTCACTACCTCCGGAAGTTTCCGCACGTTCTGCTGGCTCAATATGAAACGATGGAGAGGACTTATGAGGGTATGGTGAAGTATTTTGGAGAGGATGATACGAAGAGACTGCTGAGGCGACAGCCGCTGCTGCTGGGTCAGAACTGGAGCGGAATGATGGATACAATCTCGAAACTAATCGACGTTTTTGGCCGGGAGGGTGCAGTGCGGATTGTGAATCAGACCCCTACAGTGATGGCGTATTCTTGGAACACGATTCAGGATAAGATTTTATTCGTTACGGAGGTTATGGGGAGGAGCATTGCGGATATTGTGGTGTGGCCGGCTCTGCTGACGAGGAGCGTGGAGAAGCGGTTACGGCCGCGGTACGAAATGTTACGCGGGTTACCGCGCGAGCAGCAGCTGAGTCTGGGGTCGATGTTTGGGTGTACTGATGAGGTGTTTCGGAAGAGATATGGAAGATTGCGATGCTGGCAGAAAGGGAAGGAGCGGAGGATGGGGAGAAGGGTGGAGGAGAGGAGGATGGAGGAGAGGAGGGTGGAAGGGAGGAGGATGGATGGGAGAAGGGCAGGGAGAAGGGTGGACTAGGGGAGGGTGAAGGGGATATTGAGGGAGGAACCACTGGAGCGGATGTAGAGGAAGAGAGAGGGAGATGATGACTACAGGAAGCAGGCTGTGTCAGCATGTTGGGTCTGCTCATGTGCTCCTGGGACCTGCTACCACCCATCGCTCTGAGAAACTGGAAATAATGAGTTAGTGGGACTTGCTGCCATGCCACCCATCACTCCTGCTCATGTCCTCCTGTCCTGAGACCTGCGACCACCCAAAAGCTGTGTGTTGCACAGCAAGCTGTATAACTTGTGGAAAGTCTCAAAGTACTCTGCTTGACTGCACAAGGTGTACCCATGGCTCCATTGTTAGTACTCTGGCTGTAATCATGGGTCTATTTAAAAGAGTTGTTGGGTGGGTGTAGGAGAAAAGATGCTCATATACAAATGTGTCACAAGGGAAAATATGTCACAAGTAACCAACATGGGACTCGATAACGTGAATGGTAAAAAAGTAACGCGTTCGCTCACTGTAACGAGTTTGCTGGCGGGTTTGGTAAGTGGGGTCACGGATTCAGTCACTAACAACAGGTAAAAAATCACGCGAATGGTCACACATGTAACTCCCGCCAAAAATTATTGAAACTCTACAAAATTCCCGCTCGCGACCAACCAATCAGCTACCGTCACCCCCCGGATATGCCCCCATGGGGGGGTATAATAAAACATGATTTTTTAGGGGGGTGGGCTTATAATCGAGTAAATTTATAAGCGCTTGGGCTTAAACAATGACATATATGAAATCTTGTTGTTTTCACTCCAAAGTGTTCATCTTGTCATTGCGATTTCAATCGAGTCAAGATTATAGAGGGTTGTGAACAAGAATCTCGCGTAAGTTTGCAAGCTGCTCTCAAAGTTAGCGAACAACGGAATGTGTGAAGTAGGGAAACAAGTGATACAAATAGCAACCCTAAAAGTGTTGTACTCCCTATAGTGCTACTCACTGTAGCCTAAGAACCTATAATAACATTTGACACACCCCCATAGGCTAAGTGAGGGGCATCAAAGCAAGCAGGGTGAACAAACGGTCACAAGACCAGTCACTGCAGGAAGCAAAGCAAGCTCAGGGTGGATCTCAAGGACACCACACAAATTCCGAGCACAAGCAAGCGGCCACAAGGCCAGTTCAAGAGTTCACTAGGATATATATAGCAAAGCACAACAAGCAGAGCAAACAGCAAGTCTACAGCAACCGAGGGCCTACCTCAACAAGCCCCAACTGCACACAGAACCTGTGGTGGTCACCAAGCGCCAGGGCCTTGGTGAAGACGTCTGCAGTGTTGGCCTCTGAGGCCACAAAGTCCAGGCGTGCCTGGCCGCGTCGCTGCAGCTCTCGCAGAAGGAAGTACCTCACGTCAATATGCTTCACTCTGCTCTCCAGTCGAGGCTCTCGACAGAGGAGGATCATGGCCTTGTTGTCAGCGTACAAGGTCGGTGCAGAGCGAGGCCGCTCACCAAGGTCGGCGAGCAAGAAGGTCAACCAGCGAAGCTCCTGTGCCGCCATGGCACCAGCGTAGATCTCTGCCTCTGCACTGGAAGTAGCCACAGACGACGACCGTGTAGACCTCCACGACACAGCACCAGCACCCAGACTGAAGCAGTAACCCTGAGTCGAGCGCTGAGTGTCCACGTCGTCAGCGTAGGAAGAGTCGCAGTGACCAGTCAACGCCACTGGCTGAGTCCCTCCAAGCACAAGCCCCATGCCTGATGTAGTCGCCAGGTACTTCGCCACCCTCACAGCAGCTGTCCAGTGGACAGGACGGTGTCTCCCAGTCGCAACAAAGCGAGAGAGGACGCTGAGGGGAAAGGCGAGGTCCGGCCGAGTACAAGTCATCAGGTACATGAGGCAGCCCACCAGCTCTGCGTAGGGACCACTGGACTCAAAAGGCTCGTCGGGAAAGGGGCCAGTGAGTCTGTGGTCAACAGCAAGAGGTGTGGGCTGTGTGGTGGAGAACTGGAAGTCGAACCGCCGAAGGACCTGCTGCACCATGTGTGACTGAGTCAGTGTGATGGTGCGAGTGGCTCTGTCCCTGGTGATCTGCAGGCCAAGGTAGCGCTGCAGTTCACCTAGGTCAGTGCACGTGTGTCTCTTCTGCAGTTCGGACTTCACCTGAGCCAGAGCTGCCTTGTCTGCTGTGGCAAAGACCAAGTCGTCGACGTACACTAGTATAAAGAAAGGAGTGGAACCAGTGCGAACAAATAGCGACGGGTCGGCAGAGGAAGGACAAAACCCAAGGTCACGAAGCGTGGAGCGAAGAGTGTCGTGCCACTCACGGGGCGACTGGCGGAGACCGTAGACTGGCCGTCTCAGGCTCCACTGGGTCCCAGGTGGGAAGGTGTCAGTGAAGCCAGGAGGGCGGCGCAGCCAGATCTCCTCGTGTAGTCGGCCCTGGAGAAACGCAGTAGAGAAGTCAAGGGAGTGCAGCTCGTAGTCTCGCTGTGCTGCTACGTGCAGTCATCTTCGGGGTCGGGGCGAAGGTCTGGAAGAAGTCAACTCCCTCACGCTGACTGAAACCCCTAGCCACGTAGCGCGCCTTGAACACAGGCGGTGAACCAGGCGGCCGCTTCACCTTGAAGAGCCACATGCCATCGACTACGTTCGCCCTGGGAGGGGGAACTACGTCGACGTAGGTGCCTGTGGATCTCCAAGACGCTAACTCCGAGGCCATAGCCGCTTTCCACTGTGAGGCCCACGCCCCTGACACTGCCTCGCGGTAAGTGCGAGGAGTCGGTATGTCAAGGGCGTCGGGGTCTCCCTCAGGGGATAGCAGCATGGCACAGACAGAGGGAGAAGCGGCTGCCCAGTACTCCAGCTCAGACTCTCTGTCCTCTAGGACGTCACAGCCAAGGGCAAACCCACCCCCGACGGACAGAGGACGGGAGGGAGGAGCTGGCACCACACGGGTGGCGTAGTCAAGGCGACTGGCGGCAGCAAACTCAGCGACAGCGGCAGTGAGAGTCGAGACAGACGACGGAGGGAAACGAGAGTCGGTGACAAGAGTGGCGAGGACACGAGAGACAACAGGACGAACAGCGCGGTAGTAGTCAGTGACAGGAGTAGGGGGGAAAGGGAGAGAGGACGGAGGCGGAGACGGGAGAACGGACTCAGGAGGAGGACGACGAAGAGACGAACAAAGGAGGGCAGTGCGGAGGTCGGTAACGGGAGACGAGTGACGAGCACGCGGAGGACAGGGACGGACACGAGAGTGCGGGACACCAGGTGGAGGAGACTGCGGTGGAGGAGAAGACCAAACCGCCGGACTGGCGTCAGGAGGAGAAAACGTGGGACCAAACGCTGGAGGGGACGGAGTGTGAACAGGAGGAGAGGAGGGAAGACCAAGGGCCCGAAGGCCACTCACGGGTGGGAACAGCTGCCGCTCCAGAGGGAGCTGCGGTGGGCGCGGCTGCGGCGGCGGTATCCGCTGCTGCTGCTGCTGCTGCTGCCGCTGCTGCTCCAGCAGGTCCAACTGCCGCAACTCCTGCCGCTCCCTCTCCAACAGCACCTGCTCCTCACGCTCACGCCGACGGGCCGCCTGGAGACGTGTGTCGTGGCGGTGGGGAGGCGGAGTGGACTCCGCAGAACCAGTGTCTCCAGCTCCAGTCTCCTCTGAACCAGCACCTCCAGTGCCAGCGCCTCCAGCACCAGCACCCCCAGAACCAGCACCCCCAGAACCAGCACCTCCTGTGCCAGCACCTCCAGCTCCAGCACCCCTAGAACTAGCACCTCCAGTGCCAGCACCTCCAGCTCCAACACCCCCAGAACTAGCACCTCCAGTGCCAGCACCTCCAGCTCCAGCACCCCCAGAGCTAGCGCCACCTGCGCCAGCACCTCCATCTCCAGCACCCCTCGAACGAGCACCCCCAGCGGCTGCACCTCCAGCTCCAACACCAACTGAGTCCACTGTAACCTGTCGCGGAAGTGCCGAAGGCTGCTGAGGAGACTGTGAGGAGGACTGCGGGGAGGGAGACGCTACCCGACGCGCGACCGAGGGAAGAGGGGTAGCGTGGGACACACCAGACGGGGCAGGACCAGGGGGGGGCGGGGGTACCGGAGGAGGGGGAGCAGGAGGAGGAGAGGGGGCGAGGAAAAGGGGGGGAGGGGGTACCGGGAGACCTCGACAGGGGTACCGGGTGTAGTAGGACACGGACTCGTCAAACCGGACGTCACGGGAGTCTAGGAACTGGTGGAGGGGAGGGTGGTAAAAGGACCAGTCGGCAGAGTCCACCAGGAAACCAAGGAAGATACAGGGGACGACGCGAGCCGAGAGCTTGTCCGCGCAGGTGTCGCGAACAAGCGCAAGGCAGCCCCAGACACGAAAGGCCGACCCAACACCAGGGGACCCGGTCCAAAGACTGGTCGGTGAAGCCTCGGGCCATGAGACGCGCGGCTGGAGGTTCAGCTGGTGTGCGGCGTAGCGAACCGCGTAGGGCCACAGAAAATGGGGCGCACGGGCATGGATCATGGACGTGCGAGCAATGTCCATGACCAAGCCAATGCGGCGCTCAGCAACCCCATTCTGCTGTGGGGACTCCGGAAGCGTCCAGGACTGTACGATGCCCTGATCGCCGCAGAATCCGCCAAGAACGCCGGAGCGAAACTCGCCCTCACGGTTGGAGTGTAGACAACTGACACGACGACCACGAGTGCCCTCAGTGGCCAGAAGCCACCGGATCAGCGTAGCAGTCACCTCGGACTTCTTCGCGAGAGGAAACACTGTGGTGTACCTGGAGAAGTCGTCGACGACCACCAGAAAGTAACGCTCCCTAGTGGCTACACAAGCACCTAGAGCAGCAACACAAGCACCTAGACTAGAAAGGCACAAGTCTACACTAGCAGGAGGCAAGCAAGCTAATCTACGAACACGCGAGCACACAGATCCATCAGCACTATAGTCAACATCAGCATACAAAGCATGCTGACGAGCATCGTCCATAGACAGATCAAACACATCAATCTTACGGGATAACAGGCGAGCCCAGCGAGGCGTGGTCGCCGCAGGGCCCCAACGAGCACGGTAGAGGTCGTCGAGGCGGCGGAAGCACCGCGC